GTGCTCTGTCCCGGGTGATCTGCAAGCCAAGGTAGCTGCGCAGTTCACCCAGGTCTGTGCACGTGTGTCTCTTCTGCAGCTCGGACTTCACGTGGGCGAGTCCAGCAGTGTCAGCTGTGGCAAAGACCAAGTCGTCGACGTACACGAGGATGTAGAACGGCGGCAAAGAAGTGTCGGTGCGCAGAAACAGCGACGGGTCGGCAGTAGAGGGAGCAAACCCAAGAGCCGCAAGTGTAGTCCTCAGTGTGTCGTGCCACTCACGCGGTGCCTGGCGGAGACCGTAGACTGGCCGCCGGAGGCTCCACTGGGTGCCAGGAGGAAAAGACCCAGTGAAGCCAGGTGGGCGACGCAGCCAGATCTCCTCGTGCAGGCTACCCTGCAAGAAAGCAGTGCTGAAGTCAAGAGAGTGCAGCTCGTAGTCGCGGTGAGCAGCTACGTGCAGCAGTACCCGAAGAGTGGTCATCTTCGGGGTGGGAGAGAAGGTCTGAAAGTAGTCAACTCCCTGCCGCTGACTAAAGCCACGAGCCACGTAACGCGCCTTGAAGACAGGCGGAGAACCCGGCGGCCGCTTCACCCTGAAAATCCACATGCCACTGACGATGTTCGCCCCAGGCGGGGGAACCTCGTCGACGTAGGTGCCTGTGGACTTCCAGGAAGCCATCTCTGCGTCCATAGCTGCCTGCCACTGAGAGGAGTAGGGACCCTCTATCGCCTCCGCGTAAGAGCGCGGAGTCGGGATGTCAAGTGCATCCGGGTCTCCCTCAGGGGTAAGCAGTACGGACACGAGATGAGGTGAAGCAGCAGCCAAACACTGGAACTCCTCCTGCCTGTCCTCAAGGACGTCCGTGCCAAGGGCACACTCACCCCCGACGGACGGAGGACAGACAGACTCAGCAACAAGACTAGCAGCGTAGTCTAGACGACAGCGAGCAGCAAAGTCGACGAGCTCAGTAACTAGGGCAGACGCAGCAGTGGACTCAAAGGAAGGGTCAGTGACAACAGTAGCAAGGAGACGTGTGACAGTAGGACTGGCAGCACGAAGAGAGTCCGACTCCGGGTCAGGAAGAGCAGGAAGAGAGGACTCAGGAGGAGAAGGCAAAGGGGCACGCAGAGGAGCAGTGGACGGACGCAGAGACATCCGGTGCGTGCCAGGGACAGGAGGAGGACGCTGACGCGAACCACGACCACTAGTGCGAGCAGCACGGACAGGCGACGCAGGGCGGGACGCAGGCTCACGACGCTCAGCAAGACCTCCAGTAGGACCAGTGTAGGGAGAGGGAGCGGGCAGTGGGGAGGCCGGCTGTAACTGGAACTGTGACGGGACAGGCTGTGGACACTCTAAGGGAGGAGGAGGACCAGTAGAAGGCTGGAGACCAAGAACCTGCTGAAGGAGCGGAACGAAGTACGGCCGAGGCCGCGCGGCGACTCCAGACACAGCAGAGACAGCACCAGTACCCCCAGCGGCAGTACCAGCGCCAGCAGCACCTCCAGCTCCAGGACCTCCAGCCGCACCAGTAGTACCCCCAGCAGGACCGCCTCCAGGACCGACAGCAGTAGCCTCAGCGCCAACACCCTCAGCAGCTCCAGCTCCAGTCGTACCCGCAGGCCCAGCAGCTCCAGTACTCCCAGTACGAGCACCTCCGGGATCCACGGCACCAGCACCCTCAGCAGCCGAAGAACCTCCAGCTCCAGCAGCACGCCTCCAGCGCCGGGCAAACCACTCGCGCAGCTCCTGTGGAGAGAGTGGCTCCCGCCGAGACGAAGCACCCGGAGAACCTCCAGGCTCAGCACCGCCAGACGCCACACGAGCAGGCCCAGCTCCCTCAGGCTCCGCACCCCCAGGCTCAGCACCCCCAGGCTCAGCACCCCCAGTAGTAGCACCCCCAGACTCAGCACCCCCAGGCTCAGGACCCCCAGTAGTAGCACCCTCCGGCTCAGCACCCCCAGGCGTAGCACCCACACGCTCAGCACCCCCAGAGTCAGCACCCCCAGGCTCAGCACCCTCAGCAGCACCAGAGTCACCAGTAACCTCGACAGGCTCGACTGCGTCTACCTGGGACACACCTGAAGGGGCAGGACCCTGAGGGGGGAGGGGGTCTACCGGGGGGGGACCTGGTACAAGGAAGAGCGGTGGCGGGGGGAGGGACGGAGTGCGGTAGGGGAAGAGGCGGTAGTAGGGGACCGACTCGTCAAACGTGACGTCCTGGGAGGACAGAACACGGCGAGAGGTGGGGTGGTAGAACTGCCACCCTGGCGCGTCAGGGGGGAAGCCAAGGAAGACGCAAGGAGCAGCACGAGGGGACAGCTTGTCCGCAGACAAGTCGCGGACAAACGCCCGAGATCCCCAGACACGGAACGCAGACGCATCGCCAACCTTCCCCGTCCACAGCAAGGCTGGGGAGGTCTCCGGCATGGAGACCCTGGGGTGAAGGTTGATCTGATGCGCCGCGTACCGAACAGCAAACGGCCACAGAAAATGGGGGGCAGCCGCATGCATCATGGACGTACGGGCGACGTCCATGACCATGCCAATGCGGCGCTCAGCAATCCCATTTTGCTGTGGAGAGTCCGGAAGCGTGAAGGTCTGGCGGATGCCTCGTGCACGACAGTAGGCTCGCAGAAGGCTAGAGGAGAACTCTCCACCTCTGTCAGAGTGCAGACGCAGAACAGGAAAGTCCGAGCCGAAGCTCTGCCTGAGCTGGAGACGAGCTGCGCGGATCCGGTCGATCAACACCTCAGTAACATCACCCTTGCTGCGCAAGGGGAAGACTGTGGTGTAACGCGAGTAGTCGTCAACCACCAGCAAGAAGTAGCGCTCGTGACCCTGTCCACGGACGCGGGCCGGGCCCCACACGTCCATGTGAAGCGTCTGCAGCGGGGCCTCTGTCGGAGGAAACTGGGAGGAGTGAGGGGCAGCCCGCTGCCGCCCCTCGACACAGGGGACGCAGGTAGGGCCAGGCCCCGGAGGAAGGGGAGGGAGGGACCGGGGAAGACCAGAGACAAGGACACGGGAGGCCATGCCTCGGAGACGAAGCAGGGAGGGGTGACCAAGGCGGTGGTGCCAGAGGAGAGTCTCGTGAGACAGGAGGCGACACGAACAGGGGGCAGACTCAGGACCAGACCTGGACGCTGCAGCAAACACCTGACCTGACGCAGCTACCTGACCAGACGCAGTGACCGGAGGAGACGCAGTGGTCAGTGTGTACAGGCTCGACCCCGGCCGACGTGTAAACGTGGCCAGGTGTCGGCCTGTCCGAGCGTCCGTGCAGTGGGTCACCCGCTGACTCGCAGGAGTGAACTGGTGAACCCCCGCATCCTGTAGGTCAGCACCACTCACCAAGTTCGTAGAGAACGAGGGGAGGTAAAGACCAGACAGGGTGCCAGAGGGGGCCGCCGGACACGGGAGGACAGTGGAGAAGTGAGCAAGGACAGGACCCCCAGAGGGGTCTGCCAGAGAGACTGCAACTGGCCGGCCAAGCGGCGTGAGTGTGGTGTGCATGCCATGTGCAAGGGAACAGTGATGGTTAGCTCATGTGCCTCAGTGGAATGCACTGTGGATTCGTGCAAGTTGCATGTGCGCATGAGTGCACGTGCGTATGTGCACATGCGTGCATGTCTGCATGGGTGCATGGGTGCATGGGTGCATGGGTGCATGTGTGCATGGGTGCATGGGTGCATGGGTGCATGGGTGCACCTGGAAGGGCAGGTGGTGGAAGGAGAGCAGGAGAGAGCGCAGGAAGAGGCCGAGAGCACTGCCGCGGGTGACAGGCTGGCAGGCGGGCGATGCTGCTGCTGCTGCCCGGTGGCGCGGCGGGGAGGTACACAATGATGTCGAGACAAAACATCGATTCCAGCGTATCACAATTGGCAATTACAATCGCGAAAGCGCATATAGGTCAATTCATTTACCGTGGGTTCGGTCGCCCTACCTGCGGTGAGAACTTGGTCGACAGGATTGAATTAGGCGCGCGATCGGCTGCGTCGCGCTATTTTGCCCTATTTTAGATGCTTGGAGCAATCTATACCGCACCTTTGAGCATTCTGTTTTGCCACGCTGCTCGGGAGGCGTTTCTTTCAGATCGACTTTTTTGCCTTAGGAATCCTGGACTGCGAGAGGCTGTAGAGGCGGGTGTAGCTGCCTGTCGCGCTTGTCACGACGCGCAGTGGCTAGTCTCAAGTAAAGCATCTAAAGCATTCCGATTCGAGCTTTGCCACGTGGCCGTCACGATGCGGTGCCACTACGAGGTGCTGAGCGTGGATCGCTCCGCATCGGCGGACGATATCAAATCCGCGTATCGCAAGCTCGCGTTACAGTGGCACCCCGATAAGAATCAGAACAATGTCGAGCACGCTACAGCGATGTTCAAACAGATCCAAAGCGCGTACGAAGTGCTAAGCGATAAGCACGAGCGAGCGTGGTACGACAGCCATCGCGATTCGATCCTTCGCGGCGACACGCACCACGACGGCGAAAACCACGACGAAGACGAAGACGAGGATCTGTGGGGTTACTTTTCCGCCTCGGCGTACTCTGGTTACGGCGACACAGGCGAAGGGTTTTACGCAGTGTATGCGAAGATTTTCGACGAGATCTTCGAGAAGGAGCTCGCAGCGGCTCGGCGCGCGGCGCAGAAGGGGGAGGAGGTGGATATGTCGGCGCCGCCGTTCGGCAAGAGGGACAGCTCAGCTGCTGACGTGTCGGCGTTCTTCAAGTACTGGCAGTCGTTCGTGAGCTTGCGCGACTTTTCGTGGAAGGATCAGTACAATCTGGCCGAAGCTCCCAATCGACGGGTGCGATATGCTGACGTTTATGGACTTTTCGGGGATCAGGGTTCAGGGTTCCGGGTGCAAGAGTGGAGCATTATGAGGGCGGTTGGAATGATGTGCGAGAAAGAACTTTAGGTTCAGGGTGCAGGATGGGGATGAGGGAATCGGGCTCACGCGATTGAATCCTCGAATGCCCTGCCTGTGCCGCCCTTCCCTCGCGCCCCGTTCTTTTTATGTATGCCGCGTGTGCCACATGTGCCACGTATGCCGCACACGTGCAGGTGCGGCGGCTGATGGAGGAAGAAAACGCGAAGCTTCGGCGGAAGGCGAAGCGCGAGTTCAACGAGGCGGTTCGCCAGCTGGCGGCGTTCGTGAAGAAGCGCGACCCGCGCGTGAAGGAGCAGCAGGCGGAGGCGCGGCGCGTGGCGGCGGAGCGCGAGGCGGAGGCGAAGCGGCGGAGGGAGGAGGAGCGGAGAGAGAAGGCGCGGCGCGCGCAGGAGTATGAAGACCCGGAGTGGGCGCGGGGAGAGGGGGAAGGGGAGGATGAGGAGGAGGACGAGGATGAGGAGGGGAATGGAGTGGAGGGGCGTGGAGAGGGGACCGGGAGGCGGAAGGGGCGGAAGGCGGGGAGGGTGGAGGAGGAGGACGACGATTGGTTTGAGGAGACTAAGAAAGGGGGGCGGAAGGGGAAGGGGAAAGGAAAGGGAGGAGGGGGGGCAGGGGCAGGGGCAGATGGATCCGCAACCGTGGCAAACGGACAGGGCGACGGGCTGGGCAGAGGCGGAGGCAAGAAGAAAAAGAAGAAGGGCAGGCAGGGGGACGCACACACGGGGGGAGGCAGCGCGCAAAAGGGGGTGCGGGGGCATGGGGCTGGGGAAGGGGAGGCGGAACTAGGTGAGGCAGGGATGAATGGGGAGGGTGCGGTGGGGATGGGTGAGGCGGGGTTGGACGAGGCGTACTGCGTGGTGTGCAGCAAGGCGTTCAGGAGCGCGCAGCAGCTGGCGAACCACGAGCGCAGCAAGAAGCACCTGGCGCGCCTGGCGCAGCTCAGGGCGGAACTGCTGGCGGACGAGCTGGCGGAAGGGGGAGGGGAGGAGGGGGAAGGAGAGGGGGAGGAAGAGGGGGAAGGGGAGGAAGGAGAGGAGGTGGAGGAACTGGAGATGACAGAGGGGAAGGAGCGAGGTGGGAATGGGGATGAGGAGGCGGTTGGTAGGACAGAGAGTGACGAGGATGAGAGGGAGGCGGGAGAGGTGGAGGAGGAAGAAGGGGAGGGGGTTGATGGGTTGAGAGGGGTGGAGAAAGAGGAGGCAGGAGAGGAGGAAGAAGAGGAGGAGAATGAGGATGATGAGGAAGAAGAGAGGGAAGAGGAGGAGGAGGAGGAGGAAGAGGAGGAGGTGGCAGGTGAGATGGATGAGGAGGAGGAGATGGCGATGCTGGCAGCGATGCTGGCCCGACAGAAGATGGCTGAAACGAAAAAGAGGAAGGAGAAGGCGAAGAAGAAAGAGGAGCAAGAGGAGGCGGCAGCGGAAGCGGCAGCAGAGAGCGGGTGCAGGGAAGCATCAGCAGCAGCTGAGACAGATGCGAGAGAGGTGCAGCAGAGTGACGACAAGGGGACTGTGACTTCTGCTGCGCCTGCTGGTGCACGTGGCTTGCATGAGGCGGCGGATGGGGTTGCAGCAGAGAGAGACGGGCAGGGGGCAGCAGCAGGTGGCACCAGCGTGGGTAACAGCAAGGAGGGCGGTGAAGAGGAGGGGAGGGAGAGTGAGGGAGCAACGGGGAGAGGCGGGGAAGAGGAGGCTGAGGAGGATGGAGTAACAAAGGGGAAGGGGAAGAAGGGGAGGCGGAGAGCAGCAAAGGGTGCAGGGGGGAAGGGTGGAGTTGCAGGGGGGAATGGGGCGGTGGGGGACTCGAGTGGGCCGAAAGCGAAACTGGGTGGGGGAGGGGATGTTAGCGGTGGTGCAGAGGACGGCGGGGGAGAGAGAGGGGGGAGGGGCGGGCGGGGCGGCAAGGAGAGAAGAAAGGGGAAGAACGCGGAGGTGGGTCGTGAGACATGATTCATGGATCATTTGGGCCGGCAAAAGGGGGGGAAAGGGTTGTGCAGGGAAACGAGAGGTTGGCAAGAAATCTTAGAAGCACTACTTGCTATGATGCCAGTCGCTCACCAGCCTTATGCCTAGCCTGCTGTCTCCTGCTGCCACTGTCTCACACGTTCCCCTTGCCCTGTGCCCCTTACTCCCTGTGCTCGCTGCTGGTGTGCGTGTGTATGAGTGCAGCCGGCACTGTCTTGTGGAGTGTGTGGACTCGAGTTCGATTCCAGGTGAGCTCACTTAATTGCACCACTGTGGCAGTATCAGGCTCTGCATCTGCCACCCTTCCCCCCTCTTCCGTCTTTCATGTCTCTAACCCCAACTGCTCCTCCACTCACGCTCACTCCCTGCCATCGCCCACACCAGGAACCAACTCTTCAAGCACATAGCAACCAAGGGCCATGCACAGCTCAAGACGTGACACAAGGACAGGGGGGCACTTGCAGGGGTTGGCGTGGTCGTAGGGACGCCTTTTCCGGGACGTTTTCAGAGGCGCGTGGCGTGAGGGAAGGGGGTGTGCAGGGAAACGAAATCTTAGAAGCAATACTTGCTATGATGCTAGTCAGTCGAGCACCAGCCTGAAAAATCATGGCACAAGGCCGGGGGTCTTGCGGATGGGTCGAACATGGTCGTTGAAGATGTTCAGCGCATGTAAAGGCCAATGTTCAAGGGTCAAGGAGGTGCTTTTGTTGTGCCTCGATGGGAAGCCTGCAAGGGCCAGGGGCAGCATGTGACAATGTTTTCCTCTTATTATTGTTGATGGGAGCAAGACCACGGCACGGCAGTTGAACCGCCATTCGTTGTCCATTCTGAATCCCCAACTGACCAGTTGAGCATGTGCTGTGCTGACCGTGAAGTGGAAGTGGAAGCTGCCTTTCATGAACCAACAAAGCATGCGCTAAAGATCGAGTTCCAAAAAATTTAGAAGGCTAGTATATGACAAGACACAAGAGACTCAAAGGTGTGGTACAGGCCGCGGCTCACTTGGCGAGCGGCACAAGGCAATCATACATAACAGCCATGCGCGCTGCTAACAGCTGCCGGCCTTGCATGTCCATATGGGGGCTTGCTATATCGAGTATGTCTTGCTGCAGGCTGGTGGCATGGCACAAAGGGGGTGGGAGGGAGCAGCAAAGAGGACAGGTGAGGAAGTTCAATGTTATGACTTGACAGCATCAAGGCAGCATGGGAGCATCAGAGCATGGCAGCATGGCAGCACGGGGGCCATGTGCATGGTAGGGAGCATGGCATCAATGATTCAGCACACCATGGGTACATACATGCCAACCCAGACTCACCGTGACCACTCGCCCTCCTTGCTGGCCTGTCGCTGCACCGCCACATACAGTCGATGCAGCAACATACCGTGCCACACTGCCACGTCATCACAAATGCAGCACACCATGGATACATTCCAAGTGCCAACCGAGGCTCACCGTGGCCACTCGCCCCCCTTGCTGGCCTGTCGCTGCACGGCTACATACAGTCGATGCAGCAGATACACCAACATGCCGTGCCACACTGCCACGTCATCCACGGATGCCACGTTATTCGCTGATGATGCCACGTCATCACACGGCGCTGAGCTGGGATTGAGAGTCGACACCGACATTGATCCGGGAAGTGGTGCTGATGCTGACGTGGAGGGCGCTGCTGACGTGGATGTCAACGATTGGGCTGGTGGTAACGCCTTGGATGACGGTGACACCCTCAGGTGGTTACGCAGCAACACGTGTCGCTCCACGTCAGCGAGTAGCATCCGTCGTCTTGTCTGTGCCACACGGCCTTTTCCTTCTGCACCCCGTGCCTGATGGGTATGGGTGTAGGCATGGGCATGGGCATGGAGTATGGGCGTGGGCATGGGCATGGGCATGGGCATGGGCATGGGCATGGGCATGGAGTATGGGCGTGAGCATTGGCACAGTGCATAGGGCAACAGGTGTGTGCATGGATGAGCATGGGCATGCTGCATGGGTTGCAGGCTAGAATGGAAACAACAGAGAGGCATCCAATCAGGAAAGGTCAAGGCGAGGAGAGCTGGAAGCAGTGCCAGATGATGTACCAACCACAGGTCGGCTCGAGTCAACTCAAGTCAACCAGGGTCAACTGGAGTGAAGCCCACTTGCCTTTGAGACGGAGAAGTCACGGGAGAGAGAGAAGAGGCCGGAGAGCAGCAGCAAGGCGACTTTTGAGTCGCCTCAAAGTCAACTCTAATCACCTCGGGTCAACTGAACTCCGTTTACCTTCGAGACGGAGAAGTCACGGGAGAGGGAGAAGAGGCCGGAGAGCAGCAGCAGGGCGGGCAAGGCGGTGAGCAGAGCGAAGTTGATCTGATTCGCCCTCAGAATCTGCTCCAACTCTAACATGGCCCTGTTGCAAAAAGGGGGGGGATGGGGAGGAGGCGAGGGCGGAGGGGTGAAGAAAGGGCCTCAAGGGTGGAAAAAAAAAAAAAAAAAAAACGTGACTTCAAATAGAGCGAGAGGGTGGGTGGGTGGTGATACGGGAGGGGAATGGGAAGAGATAAATGCAGGGGGTGGTGGTGAATGCATGAGCAGGGGACTCACGTTTCAATGTGGAGCTTCATTCTTTGAACCTTGAAGAGGGAGCAGGGGACAGGGGACAGGGGACAGGGGAGAGGGGAGAGCGGAGAGGGGAGAGGGGAGCAGGGAGATGAGAGATGATATACGGGAGAAGCGAGAGGGGAGAGGGGAGAGGGGAGAGGGGGGTGAACAACCAAAACACTCAATCAGTGAACACGGAAGCATGAAGCCTGGCAGGCATCAGCAGTGCTATAGAGGGACAAATCAACCCATACACACTTGCGTGTGCGGTGCGGACACTCAAGCGCCCACCAGAGTGTTCACCCGAGTGGTCAAGTGAGTGTTCACTGAATATTCACCTGGATAAGAGCGCCTCGGCCAGCCGGCCTGTAAGGAGGTGGGTGAGGGGGTTGGCCGTGTCCCTCTCGTACTCACCTATTTCCATACCTTAGCGTTCAATGAACATTCACTGAATGTTCACCTGGATGAGCAGCGCTTCAGCCAGTCGCCCCGGGAGGAGGTGAGTGAGGGGGTTGGCCATGTCTTTCTCGTACTCGCGCATCACCAATGCCATCAGATCCGACTCTGATGGCACACCTGCTCCCACACGTGCATCCGCTGCTGCACCCACTGCTGATGCCACACCTGCTCCCACTGAAGCATCTACTGCACGTGTGGGCTCGAGCAAGCAAGCCACAAGGCACTCACCTGGATGAGCAGCGCCTCGGCTAGTCGCCCTGTGAGGAGGTGAGTGAGGGGGTTGGCCATGACCCTCCCATTTCCATACCTTAGCGTTCACTGAATGAATACTCACCTGAATCAGCAGTGCCTCAGCCAGTCGCCCTGTGAGGAGGTGAGTGAGGGGGTTGGCCATGACCCTCCCATTTCCATACCTTAGCGTTCACTGAATGAATACTCACCTGAATCAGCAGTGCCTCAGCCAGTCGCCCTGTGAGGAGGTGAGTGAGGGGGTTGGCCATGTCCTTCTCATACTCGCGCATCACCAATGCCATCAGATCCGACTCCGATGGCAATGCTGCTCCCACAGCTGCATCCGCTGCTCCTGTACTACCGCTGCCGCTGCCGCCACTGCCCCCGTTGCCGCCGCTGGTGCTGGTGCTGGTGCTGGTCGTGGTGCTTGTGGTGCTGGTGTTTTCGAGTGCCAGTGGCTGGGTTTTCTCCACAAAGGTCAGCAGCATTCTGACGGGCCATGGGGGCGAGGGCGGCAGGGAGGGAAACACGACTCGAACAGGTGTGGCAAGCAATGCAGCAAAGGGCTCACTCTATTTTACCCTGGACTGTGTTTGACCTTGCCTCTCGTTGACTTGCTTGACTCATGCATGGACACAATGCCCCTCTGCTTGGCTCTGTTGACCGTGTTTGACTTGCTTGACTTGACTCTCACCTCCGCAGCGAGTCAGTGGAAGCCTGCACGTCATGCATGGACACGTTGCCTCTCTGCTGGTCACCGAACGTGTGGAAGAGCTCTGCACTGATCGCTGACAGCTGGGGGGTTTGAGAATAGGAGCAGGCGCCAGCAGGGAGGGAGTGAGGCGTGTGGTGAGGAGAAAGAGGTGGGAATAATGTGAGCGTTTTTGTTTAGAGTTCTCAAAAATCGTGAGGCGTGTAGCAAGGGGAGATAATGGCTACAACTGGTTGACGATAAGAACTGACGATGCTTACCGGTTGCCATATGTGGTCAGTGACGAACCCTGTCACCGCTCTCCACCCATCTGCAGCCCACCTGCCCACGGGACACACGAATGTGCGAGACAAGATGGGTGGGTTGCACTTGCAAGTGAGAGCCCAGGCAGCCAAAGCAGCAGCAGTGCGGGTGACTACAAATCTGCACCCTGCCATGCATCTTTCAGCTGTCTTTAACTGCGGATCGTACTGCAGGTGCTGTTATTAGTAAACAGGTGGGCTGCGGAGGTCTGATGTCCATCAACTTGAGTGTTATAGAGACGGCGAGACAAACTCCATGAGATGAAAGTGGGAAGCCTGGTTTTAAGCTTGTATGCTAGATCGTATTTTAGTAAGCCAGTTTGAACGAAATCGGAATCTTTCAGCTGTCTTTAACTGCGGATCGTACTGCATCACCCATCAACCATCACCCATCATCCATCACCCATCAACCATTACCCATCCGCCCATCTAGATGCTTTCTCCCTCCATACATGTCCCCATTATCATCAGCAGCAACCCACCTATCCAGATCGCCACTGCCATTCAGTCAGCTGTGCCGCACCACCCAGCTTCCCACCGCCACGCCACACAGCCCCCCTGCCAGGTACTCCAGCCAGTGCCGCGCCTCAACCCATACCCCAACCCCCATCCACCCATCTACATCCCATCTCCCACCTGTCGAGGTCATCACTGTCGTTCCACCGGCTGTGTCGCAGCAACCATGAGCCCACCGCCACGCCACACAGCCCGCCTGCCATGTACTCCAGCCAGTGCCGTGCCGCGTGCCTCGGCCTATGGCAGCGCGCCACCTGGACAGGGAACAGTGGGGCAGGAGAGAGGGGTGAGTGAGAGGGTGTGTGATGGAGGAGAGGCGGCAATGCAAGTAATCTTGGGCGTCACCCACTCCAGAAGCACCCACCCCATCAGTACCACCCCATCAGTTTCCACCCCATCAGTTTCCACCCCATCAGTTTCCACCCCATCAGTTTCCACCCCATCAGTTTCCACCCCATCAGTTCCCACCCCATAAGTTGCCACCCCATCAGTTGCCACCCCATCAGTTTCCACCCCATCAGTTTCCACCCCATCAGTTTCCACCCCAGCCGGCACCCACCCCAGCCGGCACCCACCCCAGCCGGCACCCACCCCAGCCGGCACCCACCCCAGCAGAGACCAGTTTCTCGAGAACCTTCACATCCTCGTTCAGCTGCTTCGCGTGCCCACACACAACGGCTGGTGACACCACTGCAGCAACAGGCACTGCTCCTTGTGGTGAATCACTTAGCCCGCTGCCATCTGCTGCTACTAACCCAGCACCGCCCAACTCCCCTCCTGCCTCGTTACTGACTGCTTCGTTACAAGCACCACCACTCTCCACCGTCCCCTCCCGCCCCCCTGCTCCTGAGGTGGGCTTATCCCCGTCGATCCCTGAGGCCTGTATGACTGCCACGTGGCAGGCGTGTAGGATAGTGGAGAGCAGAGCGAGGGGGTCGGGAGGAGATGTGCTCGTGCTGCTGCTGCTGCTGCTGATGGTGGTGGTGAGCGTGAGGGTGGAGAGGGCGAGGGAGGATGGGGCAGGGATGACAGCTGACGATAGGTAGACCTGTGGCAGAGGGGAGGTGAGGAGAGAAGGAGACGGAGTGGGGAGATGAGGCAATACGCTTCCCATGCCCACAACAACCAGCCCCACGGACCCCCATAATCCATCCTTCCACTCCCCAACCCCCGCTTCTCCCTTACCTGCCCAGCAGCGACGCTCAGAGCCAGTTGCACCTCCCCCAGTACCGCCACTTTCTCTGCCACCATCTCCCGAACCAAGCCCTGCAGGCTCGGTGCTGCCAGGCCTAGCAGCAGCCCCTCTGCTGACGCAAGGCTCGGCAAAAACGAACTCAGGCGGTGTAGATGGACAAAGAAGAAGGGTTTCAGGTTGAGGGTTTTCAAGTCGAGGTTTAAGGTTTTGGAACCGAATGTGCGTAGATCTGAGATAAGATTTTGCAGGAGTTTAGGGGGGTGAGGGAGGGTGGAAAGGGGGAGGAGGGGAACGGTTTGTAAGGAGAGCCAGAGGGCAGAGAGGAAGCGATAGAGAGGCGCTAAGAGAGAGACGAGGTGGGTTATAAGAGGGGAGATTGGCTGCTTGACACGTGTCAGAACGCGATTTGCTGAAAGCGAGTGGGAGGGTTGGGGAGAATTGGGCTGGACGAGGTTAGAGGAAGGAGAGGCGGGAGGAGAAAAGGAGGAGGGGGAGGAGGAGGGGGGAAGGGTGGGAGAGGGGAGGAGAGGGAGGAGGTAGCGGTTGGCGGCGGATAGAGTGAGTGAGAGAGAGAGTGAGAGGGAGGTGTGGAGGAAGGCGAGCGGGCCGCGTCGGAAGAGCACGATCCAGATCTGCTGCGCGGGCGACGCGAGGGCGAGGCGGCGCCAGAAGGAGAGGTGCTTGTCGACGGAGCGCATCATGAGAACTAGCCGTTGACCCGCCTGGTTCACCGCCGCCACTGCCGCATCCACCGCCGCCTCGCACCCCTCTCCTGTGCCGCCCCCCACTGCTCCCTCTGACCCCTCTGCCACCGCTGCCCTCTCTGATCCATCTGCTCCCTCTGTTCCCCCTCCTGCTGTCCCTCCCTCCCCTACCTCTACTCTCACCCCTCCGCCTCCCTCTCCTCCCTCTCCCTTCGTCTGTGCTCGATCCGTCGCTGATTGGTCTCCCGCGCCTCGCACTTCATCCTCTGCGCTCTCGGCTGCCCTCTCATGCTGCTGCTGCTGCTGTTCCTCCTGTTGCTGTTGCTCCTCTTCCTGCTTCTGCAGGGCAATTGCGTACGCATTTCGCCGCGTCTGCCACGTCCGCAGTCTCTGCTGCTGCTGCCACGTCAGCAGCTGCTGGTGTGCAGCCGGCGGTATAACCGGGATCGTGATCTTTCGCGCGCCGCCGTCCGATTTCAATAGCGCGCGAAGACCCACCGCAACAGGCGCAGCTAACGCGACAGCACCGGCGGCTACCGACCAGACACGTGGATCCGAGAATAAACCCCCGATATAGTCACTCTGGATATAGTTACGCAAGATTGACGTCGAACTACGTCCGCTTTCCGCTGCACTGAATTCGCTCGATCCAGTCGCAGAGGAAGGCATTGCGACGATACGCGTTCGTCGCCACGCGTTTGCTACCCTACGATCATTTCATCCCCGTCAAAGACGCGTTCGATTCAACGGAAGCTAAGGAGCTCTGCAGCGAGTAGCAGCAGCAGCAGCACTTCGCAACAGACAGTTCATCCCCTCGTAATGGGAAGTGATCGACAAAAACTGTGCATCAGCGGAAAATTTACTAGGATTAAAGAAGTCTCGATATCGGGTTAGGAATGTGCAGACTGCAGTTATAGAACTGGTGGTGCAAAACGCTGCACTTTTCAAACAATCAATTATGTTTTGCTTACAAATTCATCACACCCGTGCATCATATAAAAATACAATCAAATTATATAATCCGGCACCCTAGCGTCGAAGAATCGCCATAGAAGTGTATGAAAATGCACAATGGAGTGCCAAATCAGGTAACTGGTGCCGGCGCAATGGATATGAGCTTGGACGGGCGAAGCCTGGCGCAGGGAACTCTAGCCGGAGTGAGCTGCGCAGGAGCAAGCTTCACAAACTTGCTCGCAGAAGGCTTTCGCCCCACACGCTTTCTCCCACCAGCGGGTGGGTTGAGGTGTTTATTGGGTAATTCCCCCAAGGAAAATGCATTCGTGGCTGGATAGCCCAGAAGCTGGTGGCTGTAATCAGCTAAGTAGGGAACCATGGAGTGCTGGAGGAGGGCAGTGGGGCAGCAAGAGTATCCTGGCAACACCGAAGGGCAAGCCACGGATGGAGAGGCAGGTGCGGGTTTGGGACGGCAGTCAACCACACCACGTGCAGGAGCACGCATGACTTGCTGCGGCACCTGTGCTGTGCTCTGTGCCCTGCTCTGTGTTGGGAGGCCCATCATGCGGATACGTGCAGCGATCTCAGATGCTGCCATGCGGGGCGGCATGGCACTGGTGGTGCTGACGCATGCACCAGGGCTAACAGAGGCGCCAGGGCTCACGAGGGCACTGGGGCTGACGCATGCACCGGGGGTCACATGGGCGCCAGTGCTCACATGGGCGCCAGGGCTCACAGACGCAGCGAGGCTCACATGAGCGCCGGGGCTCATGAAGGAAGCAGGGGAGGTGAGGGAGGGGATGAGCGGGTGGCTGTCAAGCGAGTGAGCCTTCTCAGCTGATGCCACCGACACCGAGTTCTCTGCCCCATTGTGGGAGCATGCGACTGGCAAGGCACCCAGGCTTGAGCTGCGGAGCACAGGCTTCACCAACAGCCGCCGCTTCTTGGGCAGAGAAACTTGCTGAGAAGTGCCCGCCACTGCTCGTGCAGCTGCCGATGCTGCTGCCGATGCTGCTGCAGATGCCGCCAACGATGCTGCTGGCGGGAAGAATGCTGCTGCCGGCGAATGCTGCTTGACGGTACGGGCCCTCCCCCATTGCTGCTTCGGGGTGCCTGCTTCAAACAGTGCCTGTGCCTCCAGCTGCTGCTGCTGCTGCTGCTGTTGCTGAGCCTGCGGATTCCGCCCGTGCTGCTCATGGCGCTGGGTTTGAGCAAAGCACGTGGAGCCGTTGCCTGCAGAGCCGGCTCCCGATGAGGAGCAGCGGGAGGAGAGAGGGGACCCGGGGGACAGGGACAGCGGGAAAATTGACGGCTTGTGAGGCAGCAACCGGGGAGTGCAGGCGTCAGCGACTGGCGGCTGCTGTTCCTTTTTTGACTGACGCAGCTGCTCGAGGCACAAGCGAGCCAAGTGCTGCTGGGGTAGGTGCTTCTGGGGTAGGAGCATCTGGGGTAGGGGCTTCTGGGGTGGGAGCTGCTGAGGTAGGTGCTGCTGTAGAGGATTCTGCTGAAGAAGGGGCTGCTGGCGCAGATGCTGCTGGTGCATGCGATGCTGGAAGGAAGAATCCTCAGCGCCCTCAAGGCTTGCCTCAAGCGTGAGGGTATTGTCGACCTGGCGCTGCTGGGTCACATGAGGCTGCAGAGACGAATCCAGAGCAGTGCCAGGGCTTGCTTCAATCGTGTGGGGGGATCTGAGCAGGTCAAGAGACGCAAGGCTGGGAGGGCTGATGAGACCGGGGCGGGGGGAGAACGGGGAGAGGCAGGAAGTGGGTACGGTAGGTGAAGGGATGCACTGCCTGACGTCCTGATGGCTGTGATGGTGATGATGCACGTACGGTTGATGATGAGCATGCCCGTCATGCTCATGCTGGTAGTAAAGGCCATGCTGATGCTGATACATGCCATCGGGAGGCACTGATAACGGCGACCGCGGCCGCTTCTTCACAGGCTGCACAGAGTACACTGCCGGACCCGAACGATCAGCCGCGGGCGAATACTCAGCAACCGCTGATTCTGCACGCGCAGGTTCTGCCAACAGCGGTTGTACCGGCGCTGATCCCGCCGGCGATAACTCTGCCGGCAGTGGGTGTGCTGCCGGCACTGGGTCTGCCAGTAGTGGTGCGTCCAGCAATGATTGGTCCAGCAGTGAATCGTCCAGCAGTTGATCGTCTGCGAGTACGGCATCCAGCAGGAAATAGTCGTCCAGGGTGGAGCCTTTGGAGGCACTGCGGCTCAATGCTGCCTCCACTGGCAGCGGGCTCAGCGGACTCGCATCGCTGCTGCTGCTCCGCGCCTGGCAACCTTCAGCCAAGGGATCCGTGAATGTTGCTCCAGTAGCCGCATGTGGGCGCGTCTCGGCGGCATCTGTGTTTGGACTCGAGAAGCCTGGCGTGTCAGCGGCACCTGTGTTGGGGCTCAGAACGCTCGATTGTAGGAGACGAGCCTGCAGCTTGCAGATCTTGTCCTCCAGTGCGCTGATCTCCGCTTCTAGCGTGCAGTTCTCGCCCGCACATGCATCCACTGCTGCTGCCCTCTCTGCTTCTGCTGCTGCTGCTGCTGCTGCTGCTGCTGCTGCTGCTACTGCTGTAGCCGCTGCTGCACATTCTGATTCTGCTGATCCGGAAAGAGGACCCCAGAGAAGTGTGGGACACGTGGAAGCTGCTGTGTGAGGGCACTGTGCCGGTCTAGCCTGAAGGCCGTGTGGCAGACGGAAATCGCGGATCAAAGGAGGCATCGATAAGCCATCGCTACGAACGCCGGCCATCTGATTCAGAAGAACATCCGGTCGAACAGCCATGGCTGCTGTTGCTGTTGTGTCCTGAGCTCCCCACCGCCTTGCCTCTCCTCTGTCTTGTCTCCCTCTGTATTCCAGACTTGGCCCCTTTGTGCCACTGCACGGTGCTGCTGATTAGAACAATAAAAGCCGCACCCTTTGTGAGAGCGATGCGTTGAGGAACAGAAAGCTGGCACAGCAGGAGAGGAGGAGATCGCTGATGCTGCGTCTGTTTCCCTCAGAAGACGGCAAGTGTGCAAGCGGCTAAAGAACTTTCAGGTTTCACAATTCTGAATGGAGGGACCGCAGAAATTCACAGTTTGAGGGGTGCGTGCAGACCCAGCGTGCCTCAGATGCATGAATCCTGCACGAGAATCGAGAGCTTTAGCTTCCGAGCTAAGACTCTCAGGAAAGCCCTCAAGAGGTAGGGAAATGCGGGAGCACAGCAGCAGCATCACCGTGCCAAGCAGGTGACTGGGATCGCCGAAAGTGATCAGACGATAAGCCAGGACAGCACAGGACGCTCCGTGCCTCCATCCATTGCTTCTGGACTACACGACATCCTGTGATTTGTTTCCTTCCAATATGCTTCTGAAACAACTCGTTGGTGCTTCTGGTACTGTGTGCAGTGCACTGTTGCGAAAGATTCTTACTGACCATCCTGTGGACGCAGGGAAAGGGGAAATTGAAGGATCAGATGCTTTGCCGGAGCATCAACGGTGTTCAACCGCTTCACTGTACCTGAATAGTTGGCTGAACAGTCCGTTTCCCTGAACTCGTAGACGACGCAGCAAAAGGCGGCACGATACGTTGCCTCAGTCATTCGTTATCAAAGCCTGATCATAGAATTCGAATCCCACAAGGTACTGTTTCCCAACCTCTTTTCGAAGGTCCACGTAATGCCTCCGCGCCTTGGGTCAAAGGTGATCTCACCGATTAATTCCAGCTCTTCCGCTGATGTGTCAGAAAGGATGAAGGAACGAAAACATCTGGGGATGGTCAAATAACTGTGCTGGAAAGGACATGTGGATGATAGACGAAGGCGTGAATCCGCGATGAAACCACGGTGACAGCACGACTGGAATGCGGTACGTAGGATCCGCCACGAGACGCGCTGTGATTGGCAAGCTTTGCTTGATTCTCTGAACTTGAGTAAAGCGGTGCAGCGATGCCACCATATTCGCTGCACCAGCGGCAAGATTCCTCTGAATTCGCCTTGACCTCATAAGAGCCGATCAGCTACAACGCAATGGAGCAAAGCTGTTGAGAGGGTGGAAGTCACAAAAGATGGTCCATCCATGTAACAAACTACTTTGCACCTAAACTATAAATAAATTTGCACCCCTCCATAACTTGAATTGAAAGACAATGAAGCCCGTCATACAATAAAACGAACCTTTAGTTTTTATTCATATCAACCATAAACTATAGTATTTTGAATTAATGCTTTGTGATGTGTTATGGGATCTGTTCGAGGAACCCTGCTATTTGCCCATACGTCTGATATTTGTTTCTTTTTATAATCTTACCGAATTTTGGAAATTACGAATATTTGCGTGCATACATTCTGGAGCATCATGGATATAGATACCTAGTGCGTACATATATAGTGTTTTTAGGATGACAATGTTCTGTACTCCTTCATTCACTGCTTTCATTCTCGCCCAGGGCCCACTACTTGGCGCCTCGATTTTGCCGCCAATTTTCGTCCCAAGGTGTCAGAGGTGCCGTTTTCGACACCAAGCCCAGCAGACAATTCTCTTGGCTGCTCCACAAACACAACTTTCCTTCCCAGCCGACACAGGTCGTCCTCTTTCCAGACTCTCACTGCTTCCCATTGTCGGCCTGGTTTCCAGTTGTCCAGCTCCTCTTCAACTGATAGAGATTAATCCGCCTGGAGTGACGATAGCACGCGGATTTTCCGGTAGGAATGCTTCCTTCCGCCTTATCTAGGACATTCGACTCTTCTACTACGCTCCACCTGACATTCTAGTTTGCGTCGCGACTCGTCTATTCTGGTTCGAGATTGAGCCTTGATACGGATACAGAATGCGGTCCTACGGAAGACAAGATAGCAATCGTCGTAGGATAAGCGGAAGGTATTAGCGACATTGTGCGCGGTTCTAAGATGGAAGATGGACCATCGACCTGATTACGCGGTCAAAGACGTAAGATAGACTAGCGACCTTGATAAGCGTTTTTAGGTTGCAACGTTCATAATGTTGTCTTTAACCTCCTGACGGAATTGCGATCTGGTCACTTGCTGGACCTTTCCTTTGGCGTCGTGCTAACGCGCTGCTCACTACCGGCTGTGCACGCGATCTTTCATCCAGCTGTTTCGTTTCGCCGATGTCACCTGTCGTCAGCGTTCTCCGTCGTTTGCAGAGCTTGTCTGCCCTTCGCTAGATGTCGCTGGAGTTCGCCGAGTTCGTTGCCGTGTTTCTCTGCCCTTCGCCAAGTTTCGCTGCCGTTCGCCAAGTTTGCACATGGCGTTCGCCAAGTTTCTCTGCCATTTGCTGGATTCTACTGGTACTTGCCGACTTTCGGTGCCGTTCACCAAGTATCCTTGCCTTTCGCACACCTGCTGCCGTTCGCGAAGTATCTGCCTTTCACAAAGCTGCTGCCGTTCGCCACGTGTCGCTGCCGTTCGTAGCAGCGGGTGTCAGCTGCGGGTTGAAGCTGGGTGGTATCGGCTGGAGCGGTGGTGTTTGAATGCACGCGGATTCGAAGCCCGCTGACGACAGCAGAGCGGACTCGAATTACATTGACGGAATTTGGGCGATTTTGAACGGCAGCGAAGCGCCATGCGAAGGTGCGTGTACGTGCAGGGCAAGAGGGGTGGGCGCGTAGGACGTAGGAGTCCGCCGCTTAGGTGTCTTGCGTCGTCAGCTTTTCCTGCTTCCCGACGTCCTTGTTTCCGCGCTGCTCTGACGCATCTTTACCCTCTCCTGGTGTCTCTGCTCGTGTGCTCTGTGTGTGTGTGTGGAGGTAGGGACGAGGGATGGAGCACGGCAGGCAGTCGCAGCGCCAGCAGGAGCAAGAGCGGGCGAATCAGCGGCGCGGAAGACAGACATCATCGCGGAACGTAAGGGTGCGTACGTACGGGGAGCAAGTGGGGGGGCGCAAAAACAGTCTAGGTCGCCGCGCGGCAAGTCTTAGAATCAATTCTGATTTTTCTTCGAGTCCGTTTCCTTTTCGGATTCTGAGACACTTTCTTGTGTGCGTGTTCCTGTGCTGTGTTTGCTGCTGTGGTTGGGGGGGCTCCTTGACTGAGAGGCACACGGACGAGTCATCAGTCCTGCCAAGGCGTGGCGGTGCATCGTATCCCAAGGAGGGGCTCTGCCAGTAACCATCCGACTGCTGACGCGTCTCGGAATCTGCCTAATTATGGCAGCATGGTGAGTAAATTTGCCGAGTCTATCGGGGGGGAGCATAGCAGTCTAGGTCGCCGTGCGGCAAGTCTCAGACCTGAATTCGTTTTTTTTTTAGTCTGTTTCCGCTGCTTTTTCTGACACACTCTCCTGTGTGGTCGTTTCTGTGCTGTGTTCTCTTCCGTGTTCTCTGCTGCGCCTCCTTCATTGAGAGGCATTGACATGCTCGCAGGCTTGCCTATGTGCGGTGCGTCCCACTGGGATCCGCCTTCCGAGTGTCGCTACTTTTCGCACAACTGCTGCCGTTGGTGGATTATCGCTGTCTTCCGCACAGCTCCCGCCGTTCGCCGACGAATTTCTCTACCGTTCATTATGTTTCACTGGTTTCGCTGCCGTTCGCGAGGTGCGAGAAATGACCGCCAAGTATACAGCACGGCGAAACGCAGAGCAACACGTGCAAGGAATCGAAGGTGGCTCGACAGTGGCAGCAGAAGGGTGAACGATCGACCTGAGTGCAGCAGCGTGTGAGAGAGCGGCGACGCGGTTTCAGCCCGCTGGGTGGTATGCGGATTCGAAGCACGCTGACGTCAGCAGAGCGGATTCGATTCGAAGCACGCTGACAACGCCAGAGCGGCACGCGAAGGTGCGTGTACGTGCAGGGCAAGAGGGGTGGGCGCGTAGGACGTAGGAGTCCGCCGCGTAGGTGTCTTGCGTCGTCAGCTTTTCCTGCTTCCCGTCGTCCTTGTTTCCGTGCAGCTCTGACGCATCTTTGCACTCTCCTGCCGTCTCTGCTCGTGTGCGCTCTGTCTGTGGAGGGAGGGAGGAGGGATGGAGCACGGGAGGTGCAGTCGCAGCGCCTTATCGGAGCATAAGCAGCAGGAGCAGGAGCGGGCGAATCAGCAGCGCGAGGGACCGACATCATAACGGCATGCAAAGGTGCGTACGTATGGAGTACAAGCGGGGGGGCGCCAAAAAACAGTCTAAGTCGCCGCGCGGCAAGTCGTCAATTCAAATTTCGTTTCCTTCGAGCCGTTTACTTTTCATCCTTTTGACACTTTCTTGTGTGCTTGTTCCTGTGCTGTGTTCGCTGCTGTGGTTGGAGGGGCTCCGTGACTGAGAGGCCCAGGGACGCTTCCGGCCAAAGCGTGGCATTCCTGCTGAGGCGTCTTGGAACCTGCCTCGCCATGGCAGCACGGTGAGTAAATTGGCCGAGTCTATTGGGGGGAATCATAGCGGTCTAGGTCGCCGTGCGGCAAGTCTCAGACCTGAATTCGTTCTTTTCCGAGTCTGTTTCCACTGCTGCTTCTCACGCACACTCTCCTCTGTGCTCGTTTTCTGTGCTGTGTTCTCTGCTGCGACTTCGTGATTGAGAGGCATCGACATGCGCACAGGCTTACCCATGGGCGGTGCGTCTTCAGGAGGCGCTGTGCGTCTTCAGTAGGGACCCGCCTTCTGAGCCGTCTCAGGTTCTGGCTCACCATGGCAGTACAGTAAGTCACTGGGCTGGTCTATCGGGGGGGCAGAAGTGTCTAGGTCGCCGCGCGGCAAGTGTCTTAATTCAGCTTCTGTTTCTTTCAAGTCTATTTCCTCTGTTGCATCTGACGTGTTCTCGTCTATGTTTTCTGCTGTGTCGGCTTCTCTGGTTCGAGACTTCTGTGTGTGGGATGGCCCAGGAGAGGAGACCTTTGAGCAGCAGAAGCAGCAGCAGCAACAACTGCCCGGAGGGACGGGAGCAAAACGACCAGTACAGCACAGTAAGTTCTTGACCAGATCCATCAGGGGGTAGCGCAGTGTCTATGTCGCCGCGCGGCAAGTCTTAGAGTCGATTTCGGTTTCTTTCGAGTCCTATTCCACTGCTTCTTCTGGTGCTCCTTTCTCTCCTCTCTGCGCGTGTCTGTGCTGTGTTCGCTGCAGCGGTGCCGGTGCCTCGCACAGCAACAGTCGTGCCACAAAATGGTGCTTCCTGGAAAGGTGCTGTGTGAATGAGCATCCGCACCACATGGCTCGCCATGGCAGTACGGTAAGTCACTGGGCTGGTCTATCCGGGGGGGCAGTAGTGTCTAGGTCGCCACGCGGCAAGTCTTAAACGCAATTTCCGTTTCTTCCGAGTTCTTTTTTCCGTTGCAGCTTCTGATGCAGTCTCCTCTTTGCTTGCGTCTGTGCTGTGTTCGCTGCTGTGGTGCCGGTGCCTCCTGCACTGAGGCCCAAGGACACAGCAACAGTCATGCCAAGGGGTGGTGCTTCTCAGAGAGGTGCTTCGCGAGAGAGGACTCGCACCACATGGCTCGCCATGGCAGTACGGTAAGTCGCTGGGCTGGTCTATTGGGTGGGACATAAGAGTCTAGGTCGCCGCGCGGCAAGTCTTAAGATCAAATTCTGCCTTTTTTTCCAGTGTGTTTCCGCGTCATCTTCTGATGCACTTTTTTCTCTGCTCGTTTCTGTGCTGTGTTCGCTGCTGTTGAGCTGGTGCCTCCCGCACTGAGGTCAGGTCCAAGGACACAGCAACAGTCATTTCAAGAGAGGTGATGTGCGAGAGAGGATCTGCACCACATGGCTCAGTACATCACTCACCATAACAGTACGGTAAGTCCTTGGGCGGGTCTATTGGGGGGGCAGAAGTGTCTAGGTCGCCGCGTGGCATGTCTTAGAATCAGATTTTTGGCTCTTTCGAGTCCTTTTCCAATGCAGCGCCTGACGCACTCTCCTCTGTGCTCGTGTCGGTGCTGTGTTGGCTGCTGTGGTGCCGGTGCCTCCTGCGCTGAGGCCCAAGGACACAGCAACAGTCATGCCGAGGGATGGTGCTTCTAAGGGAGGTGCTGTGCGAGGGAGGATTCGCACCACATGGCTCACCATGGCAGTATTGTAAGTGGCTGGCCTACTCTATCGGAGGGGGGGTCAGAAGAGTCTAGGTCGCCGCGCGGCAAGTCTTCATATTGATTTCTGTTTCTTTCGAGTCCGTTTCGCTGCTGATTCTGACGCACTCTCCTCTGTTCTCGTTCCTGTGCTGTGTTCGCTGCTGTGGTGCTGTTGTGTGCCTCCTGCACTGAGGCCCAAGGACACAGCAACAATCATTCCAAGGGATGGTGCTTCTCGGACAGGTGCTGTGGGAGATGGTGCTGTGAGGATGCTCACCACATGGCTTGGAGCAGTACGGTAAGTTATTAGGCGGTCTATTGGGGGGACAGAAGAGTCTAGGTCGCCGTGCGGCAAGTCTTCGACGTGAAGTTGATTTCTTCTCAGTCCTCTTTTTCTGCTGCTTCTAACGCACTCTCCTGTGTGTTTCCTCTTGTCGTGTGTGCGCTCCTGTCTTGGGTGCGCTGACTTGAGTCCAACATGATCGCCTGCGGGCTTGTGGGAGTTGGGGGGAGGAGGCGGACTGTGGGTGGAGGGTGGGCGGAGGGAGGTTTGGGGAAAGGGCGGAGGGAGGTTGGGGGAAAGGGCGGAGGGAGGTTGGGGGAAAGGGCGGAGGGGGAAACGGCAGTGGCATGGGTGCTCAGTGCCACTCAGAGGGGAGAACAGACACTCGCATGGGTGAGTGTATCCTTGCCCTTGCATGCAAGCATGCACCCCGGCATGTGTATCCCATGACCACACCCGCACACATGTGTTCATGCATGCACACACGGATGCGTGCATGCACACATTCACGCACATGCATACCCGCTCAGGTGTCCCTCAGGTAACAGACCAGGTGCCCTATCAGGTGCGACCTCAGGTAATTTCTCAGGTAAGACTTGGCCTTGAGTTCTACCAATTCATTTGTTCCCTCTCTTTGTGCCTTTGGTCTCTGCATGTTTATTTCTTCGTGAGTTTACTCTGCTTGCACTAATGACCTGCGTTGCACCCCCACCTTTTCTTCCTGTCTCCTTTCCTCTGCCTTCCCACGTCCCGCTCCCCCATCCATCAGAGTGCCAGCACTGGCGTGCAGCACGGCCGTCACCTGGCACAGGGAGAGCATCTGCTGGGGGTTCGTGCCCCACAAGTAGTGAGCCCCATTCGCCCCCCAAGATAATCTCAAGGTTTCAAGTCCAAGTGGTAAACTCCATTCCCCTCCATCGCTTCTCTGGTTCTCTTCTGGCTTGACTCTCTCTGCTGCAGTAATGACCCCCCCTACCCCTTCCTGCCCAACCCCCCCTTTGTCCGTTTCCTTGCTGCAGCTTTCTTCGCTGCACCCTGCTTACCTGCACCCTGCTTACCTGCACCCTGCTTACTTGCACCCTGCTTGCCTGCACCCTGCTTACTTGCACCCTGCTTGCTTGCAGCTGCTTTCCTGCAGCAGGACTGAAGCAGCGATGGCAGCAGAAGCAACAACGGGCAGTGCAAGGCAGAGCATCTGGAGTTTCAGCTGCAGCAGGTGAGTTTGAGTTCCATCCCTTCCCCTTCACTTCCCTTTGACACCCCCACCTCTTGCCACTTCCATTTCTATCCTCAGTTGTGAAGGGAGTGCGGGGGGTTTCAGCTGCATTATCATTTTTATTGCCATCCTTCGCTGTTTTAGCCATACCATCTTTGCTTCTGAGTACGTGCCCTCTCAACGTATTACCATATTTGCTTCTCTCCCCTTCTCACCTCCATCACGCAACAGGAGTGGAGTGGTTGTAGCAACAGCACCACTAGTGGACAGGAGGGGAGGACAGGAGGATGCACGGAGGGAATGAAGGAAGAAGGGAAGGAGGAAAGCAGGGACGCAGGAAAAGATTGGGAAAAGCGACGTTAGAAACGAGGTTGAAAGGATTGCTTGGAATCGACAGAGTGAGTGTTCTTTTTCCTCACGGCCCTGTTGTGCCATGTTCTTTTTTTTTATTGCCCTTGTTTCCAGATTACTCCCTCCTACCCCCAAGTGCAGTGCCCATCTCTGCTGCTCTCTGCCCCTTCCTGCTCCTCTCTGCTCCTCTGTGCTCTTCGCTGCTCTTCACTATTGATTCATGTTTCTGCTGCTTCTGACGTTCAGCTGCGTTTCTTGCTTGCATCTTTTGCCCTCGCTATCTCCCCGGCTAAGGAATCCATTCCCCTGTGTAATCTGCCCCTGTGATATCCGTCCTCCTCACTACTGCCCCATCTTCCCTTCGTAGGTCATCTCGAGGCAACAGCATCAGCAATAAAAGATGTAGCAGTAGTAGCAAGGGATACATAGCTAGTGCATTCCTTGTAAAGCATAGAAAGGGATGCTGCGGTATGGTAAGGTAATGTAAGGTAATGCACGGTATAATAAAGGTATGGTGAGGTATGGTAAGGTACCCAACCACACGAGGCAAAAGGATCATCCCAACAAAGAGACGTACGCGACACACAACCAACGTGAGAGAGACCTACCAGGCACAGCCAAAATAAGGCTGTGTCGCAACAGAAGCAGGAATGATTATCAAAGTTAAAATGCATGTCCAATCTATGGAACTTTTTCAACCAGCCAGAGAGACAAAGCCCTCCCAACTAAAATGACAGGTGCGCACGCAGACCCAACCCTACATCCGCTTGCTACAACATTCCAATCTGGAAGATGTCTCCTGGATAGCAAAAGGCAGCTTATAAGCCTGCATAGAACCATATACAGCCCATTATAGTCATGAATGTGTGCATGCTGTACGTATAGCGAGGGAGCCTGCATAAAAAAGAAATATGTAAACTAGGAGCGTCGCGGCTACTGTACCGCAGCCTCGTCGCATCGATTCTTTTGGGAGCTCGATTTCCATCATTCTCCAGGGCTCCTGCTCCTCCCTCTACATCTAGCCTTTTCAGGTGTGTGAGCGCACGGTGCGAGGTCCTACAGCGTTGCTGTGTGCTGTTATTCAATTCTTGTACATACTGTTGAAGATACGACGTGCTGCAGATTCCGTCTACGTGCGTTGTGGTCGGCTGCACTTAAGTACTATGTAATTCCTGTCACCGCTGAAAGTACGATGTACGACATACTTTGAGTCCGGCGAAGCGCATCTCGAAGCAGCAGACATGTCACGGTGGCATCGTTGCATTAGAGGAAGCCCTTGCAACTGGCGAACCCTCGTTAGTACGCCACCTTGTCTCCCGCTCGTTAGTAGACAAAAACGTTTCTTCCTCAACACGCCCGGGTGTTTCCCTCTCGTTGGTAGGCAAGCAGGCCTCGCCCTAACACGCGTAATCCGCTGGATCTCGGCAGATGTTAACTACAGTGCGCGCGCGGTCCGCAGGAGAGGATTATGCAATGCGACATCTGATGACAGAAAGAGAGTCGTACGATCCAGCGATCGCGACACGAGCCACGAGAGTACACGGCAAGAGCGCGATTCCTGGGAATGGCAGCAGCAGCAGCGCCGGTGGCAGATGCAGGCGGGAGTCGAATCGACGGCGGAGAATGAGGAGAACTTGGAGCTTGGAATCGCAACCGTTATTCCTCGCGGGCTCCCGTCGCGCGGGCGTGGAGTGCAGTCGGGTCGACGGCGAGCAGTGCGGTTCGATCCCGCATCAGGCGGACTGGAGATGAATGGCGGGGAGGCATCCGGAGGTGATAATAGCGAAGGTGACAGAAGGGAAGGGCTTTCAGACGACGACTCTGGCGCGGGAAGAGAGGGTGGATGGAGACAGAAAGAACGGAGAAGTTCGCCTCCTCGTTCTGCTGTACATTTCGCCAACACACAGGGGCGGAACGGGGAGGGGAGGAGAAGAGAGAAGGGCGGAGGGGGATTGGGGATTATTGGACAGAGAGGGGGGGAAGGGGCACAACGAGGAGGAGGGCTGCGGCAGCAGGAGGGTGCAGCAGCACAGCGCGCGATTCAAAGGCCTCGGAAGCCATCCGAGGACGAAGCAGGCGACTCAAGCATCACTTTTCAGGAAGGTGCAGAGCAGGAGAGCGACGAGGAGGAGGAGAAGGCACGGGTGGAGGCGGTGCGACTGCTCAGCTTCAAGTGAGAGACATCCCATTGCCCCTGCATGCACTACCATTTCCACGCCATTTCGACCTTCCTTCATACACCAACGTGGCCTGGCGTGTATCTTTTAGCGCAAAACCATATGCAACATTTGTCCATCCCATCCCATACTCCCCAAGCTGGTATGAATCTGCTTCTGTTGACTTATGCTTGTGCCTTTGTCTGGGCGCCTCTATGTGTGCGGCTCTGTGCGGCTCTGTCCTGCTGGGGCAGGCAGTGGTCGGAGGCGCAGCTACGGCAGAAACTGACAGCCAACTTGACCCAGCCAGAGCGGGCCCGGGGTTTGGCCAGGAGAGCAGGAACAAGCCTGCCACGTGGCAGCATGGCACTGGAGCAGGCTGATGCTGCGGTTAGTTCTGCCATAAACTACATGAAGAAGCTGTGAGTCTCAACAATGCTATGCTATAAACTATGTGATTCTTTGTCATTGAAAGTCTCTGTGCCAGACTATTTGTGCTGTGGATGGTGTGCGTGATGGTGTGTGTCGTGTTCTCTCCATTCCTTCGATGTCGTATAACTGCGCTAGACTCCCCATTTCGCTCTGCCCGTGCCTGTCATCACCCTCAGCGGCTTCGTGAATGACAAGGAGTACGCGGAGGCTTTCGCCCGAGGGAGGTTCAAGCAGCTGGCATGGGGTCCAGCTCGCCTCAGAATGGTGAGCTTCCCTTTGTGTATCGTTGCTGGCTGGTCTGGCATTGTGTGTAGTGGTGCATGCTGCACGGTCCTTACATGTGCTTGTAATATACAACATTGTCTCCTGCTTGTGTCTGGCTGCTGATACAAGTAAACTCTTGTGTGATTGTTGGCTTGCACTTATTTTGACATTACAGGAGCTTAAAAGGAGAGGGGTGAGCGCCAGTGATATTAATGCAGCTGTGGATTCCGTCTACACTCTAAGCAGTTCAAGTGAGGACAGTATTGATAGCAGTGGTGATGTTGGTGAGGATTTGGAAGATGATGGTTATGAAGATGCAAGTCAAGCTGGACTCAGCAAAGAGGCATGGCTTATATTAACTGCTAAAGTCTCAAAAGTGTGGGACAGAGGTGAAAATGTCCCCTTGGAGAAGCAAAAGCAACGCCTAGTGGGTTGGTTGCAACGGCGGGGCTATAGCTGGCAGCAGACCTGGAAGGTTGTAAATTGTATGCAAAAGAAATGATGAGGTTATTCGTGCTTGTGATTTCTTTCTTGACAAGGTATTGTGGTTGACAGTTGAGTGCTTTGTAATGAACGTCGCAAAACGCCGCGTGGCGACCGTCATCCCACGGGCTTGGAGGACACGTGGACTTCAATTTGGGTAACCCGTCAGCGTGGGAGGCCAGACCAGACCTCTTGACGACGAAGCTCAAACTGCGCTGCTGTCACAAGGGGAACCCTAGGGGTTGTCGAGCCAGCACGAAACGCGTGGCAGATTCCCTCGAGGTTTGCGTGAGCCACCAGCATTTCCTTGACAGTGCGATGCAGTCGCACAACTCACATCCAACGGCTGTTATAGTTTCATTGAGATCAACTGACCCCCGCCACGGTTTCCCTCCCAAACCAAACCTGTTTCCCTCCTTCCGAACCACAAACCTCACGCTTCGATCACTCAACTCCCCCCCTGAACCTTGGCTTCCCGTGAATCCTGAGTCACTCCGCGCATCCTCTGAATCCCTGAATTCCCTCAACAAAATTCAGCAATAAACATCACCGAGCTTCTGTCAACCATTCAGATTCATGCTTCAATTTTCTGAAGTCGAGGCTTCTCCTTTCTCTCGTCTCTCCGATCTACTCAGTCCTCTCGGAGACATTTTTCTCGTGCTTCTAGAACAGAAGCTTTGCCACTATGGCTACTACCGATCTTACCGTGGAGAAGACGGCCTCCGGCCGCGAGTACAAGGTCAAGGACATGTCTTTGGCTGATTTCGGCCGCATGGAGCTCGATCTCGCCGAGGTCGAGATGCCTGGCCTCGTCGCCTGCCGCGAGGAGTTCGGCCCTTCCCAGCCATTCAAGGGAGCTAAGATCAGTGGATCCCTCCACATGACGGTTCAGGTGTGTTGAAATTCTCGATTTTGCCCTTTGTCGCCGAACGTTTTGGACTGGTTTGTTTATATCCTCCTTCGTGCATCAACGCCTGCGGTCTCATTGAAAGCAATGAACATTGGAATCTGACAATGTTCTTTCGGGTTCTTTTTTCCTCTGCAGACTGCCGTCCTCGTTGAGACCCTCACCGCGCTCGGCGCGGAGGTGAGATGGTGCTCGTGCAACATCTTCTCCACCCAGGACCACGCTGCAGCCGTCATTGCCCGCGATTCAGCCGCCGTGTTCGCCTGGAAGGGCGAGACCCTGCTGGAGTACTGGTGGTGCACTGAGCGCTGCCTCGACTGGGGCGTCGGCAGCGGCCCCGATCTCATCGTTGACGACGGTGGCGACGCCACTCTCCTGATCCACGAGGTAAACTTGCCAGAAAATTGGGCTTTCTCGTTATCCTGTAACATATGAAATATACCCCTAGTAAACGTAAACACGTTGACGATCTTGCGGTGAGCATCTTCTAACATGTGCATGTTGACATTGCGCTTGCAGGGTGTGAAGGCCGAGATTGAGTTCGAGAAGTCGGGCGCCGTCCCCGACCCCGAGTCGACGACGAACCCCGAGTTCCAGATCGTGCTCACCATCATCCGCGACTCGCTCAAGGAGACGCCCACCAAGTACCGCGACATGGCGAAGCGCATCATGGGTGTGTCGGAGGAGACCACCACCGGCGTCAAGAGGCTGTACCAGATGCAGATCAACGGCTCGCTGCTCTTCCCCGCCATCAACGTCAACGACTCTGTCACCAAGAGCAAGGTACTTTCATAAACCTGAATTGTATGCATGGGTTTTGGATCTAAATTCTGTTCATTTGCAACCGCCTGAATTTTTTGAGCCTGAACGTAGAGACAGCGTTTCAAACGAACCCATAAGCCCTTGTGGAGCCAACACTTCGTAACTCTCAGCTGATCACGTGGTAACGAATTTCCTGTTCTGTCCAATTCGTCGTCCCCTGCAGTTCGACAACCTGTACGGTTGCCGTCACTCCCTGCCCGACGGTCTCATGAGGGCTACTGACGTCATGATCGCCGGCAAGACCGCTCTCGTGTGCGGATACGGTGACGTCGGCAAGGGCTGCGCCGCTGCTCTCAAGGCCGCTGGTGCCCGCGTTACAGTCACGGAGGTCGACCCCATCTGCGCTCTCCAGGCTGCCATGGAGGGATTCGCCGTGAACACCCTGGCGAATGTGGTTGGCGACACTGACATCTTCGTTACCACCACTGGTAACAAGGACATCATCATGGTCGCTGACATGGTGAAGATGAAGAACAACGCCATTGTTTGCAACATCGGTCACTTCGACAATGAAATCGACATGGCCGGCCTGGAGAGCTACCCTGGCGCCAAGAAGGTGACCGTTAAGCCCCAGACGGACCGCTGGGTGTTCCCTGAGACCAACCGTGGCATCATCATTCTGGCTGAGGGTCGCCTGATGAACCTGGGATGCGCCACTGGCCACCCCAGCTTCGTGATGTCGTGCTCGTTCACGAACCAGGTGATTGCCCAGATTGAGCTGTGGAAGGAGAAGTACTCGGGCAAGTACAAGAAGGAGGTGTACGTGCTGCCCAAGCACCTGGATGAGAAGGTCGCTGCACTGCACTTGCCCAAGCTGGGGGCTGTGCTCACCAAGCTGAGCCCTGCCCAGGCTGAGTACATTAATGTGCCTGTGGAGGGCCCTTACAAGCCTGCCCACTACAGGTACTAGAGGGCAGCTAGATGATTTGCTTATACGTGTTGTACGTGATAATGAAAACAAACATGTAGCTCTCGCTTCTCAGGCACAGAGACACACCCAACATTTCACATGGCTGGAAAAACAAACTTATTTCTGCAGTTGGTGGATCTGCAGTCAGCTTTTTACGTATGCTGATGTTGCTGAATGCTTGCCTTTATTTGTGCTGATGATTCTATTTGGGCTGATGAAAGTACAGCTAGTCTTCTGTTGAGAGCTTACCCTGAGCTAGGAAATTTTCCTGAGAATTCACCCTGAGAGCTATCTCTCAGGGACGTACTGCCCCTGGTGTTAAAGCAAGGGTCCTCTTTCCATTGGGAGCATCGTTAGTGCACACCCTTTAACACTTACTGATTTGACAGCAAAGTGTATAGGGTATGGTAAGCTGGTGCAAAAATGACCGATTCCAGGATAACGCGTCAGGCATTTTTGCGGCACCCTAACAACTCTGTCAGCACAAAAACTGATGGCCGAACTATTTTTAACATGTTTTGAATATGATAATGTATCGCCATAATTTTCCGTAACCATTCAGAGTTATCAAAACTGTACATGTGTTTTCCCAGAGGTTCAATATTTTAAGATTATGCGACGTCTGGTAAACCGCTGATCCACATTGTTTATTATTCCACAACACAACCGTCAATAACGAAGGTTTTCATCCTGCAATCTCCACGTCTGCACGCTGTTCCAACGTGGCACCTTTTAGCCTGTGCAAGCCAGTGCGGCAATCCCAGAAGTGGGGGCAGGCGTCGCCGACACCACAGAAAGTGGATGGTGCAGCCCAACATATTTTCCACCGAAAGCTGCTTCGGGTAGCTCATAGAAAGCCCTAGAAAAATCAGCAGATCAATTGAAATAGGCCACCTTGTTCCTGAACCCACACCGCCTATCGTGTCGTCACAGAATCCACATCTTCTTCTGCCCGACAATACAACTTTTTCTGTCCCAGCATTTTCCCTTTTCCCTTGCCTTTACCAAACCGAGGGGAACCCATCCACCACAAGCTGTCGTGTTCGTGTCCGTTCTTTCACGGGAATCCCTACCGATTACCGTGCACAGAAGAAATCAACACGACTGCACCGCACAGAAAACGAAAGAAACGCTCCCTACCCTCTGGAAGTGAAACGTAGAAGGCTGAGGGGTCAAGCGTGCCTCAAGCAGAACAAGAGAGCTGCTCTCCTTTTTACCCACCCCCCTCCTCATTTCTTACTCCCCTTCGCTTCAGCCTGCTGAAGTCCAGTTAGGGCAAGCAAGCTTCACGTGTCTCTGAACTCGGCTTAGTATCTGTTCGATAAGTCAGCCAGTTCAAGTTCTTTTTTCTCGCGAATCGTTACCAGCTTACCGAAAGGAAAACTGCTGCTTGGTGAATCAGCCCGCGATGGCCACCACAACGTCAGTAGCTCTCCTCCACACGCACGCGCACGCGTCGCTGAGCAAGCCCATCGCGCAGCGCACCACCGGCCTGCACTCCCACGAGCCATGCGTCCCATCCCAACTATCCTCCGTCAAATTCCTCTCCGGCTGCGATTCCTTCCCGAAAGCCAAGCTCACTGCCACCTCCGCATCCTCAGGCTCCCTATGCGTCCCCGGCGCGTTTCCCGCGGAGAAGCGGGGTCTTAGAGTGGTAGCGGGCGGGCCCGGGCTGGCGGGCGAGCAGGATCAGGGGCAGCAGGGATCGTCGGACGACTTTCCGCCGGTGCCGTCGGGTCGGATGATGGTACCGATGATGAAGAAAGGCTACGGCGCTTTCGGCGGCGGTGGAGCCACGCTCGAGAAGTCCAAGCTCGACCTCTCGTTCTCGGCCACCAAGACCACCCCGCAGGTACACCTTGGAATTGCAGAAATTGGTAGACTGTTTCGAGTCGACACATAAGCAGCTGGACAGTCGACTGCCACTAAGACGACTCTTCTCCACATGTGCACCTTGCAACTCCAAATTCTCATTCTCTATGCTGTGCTTCTTGTAGCTGTGTCCCCCTCTTTACCTATCTATCTAGGGTTTCGAGTCTGTTTCTGTGACTTCTGCTGACTGGCGTGCTGATTGATATCTGTGTGGTCGGTGTTGTGCGTTTCTGTGGTATGCGATCAGATTGACCTTGGCGGTGGAGGTGGTAACGTCGGTAAGGGTGGAGCGCACGGCGGAGGCGACGGCGGCGACGATGGTGGCGACGATGACGACTACTTCGGCGAGGACGACGGCGACGATGGTGACGACGACGGTTTCATTCGTAGAGCGATCATCTCCGAGGTTAGTTAGCCGCATGTCTCCATTAACATTGTTGCCGCCATTTATGTTGTTCATTGGCGGCATTCCTGGTTGTTTTCGCAACTTGATTCTGAGGCTTTTCGAAAGCAGCCTGCCGTTTTTGTATGCTCTGTCTTATCTGCCTTGCCTAATCTCTGCCCGACGAGTATTCGGCAGGGGCTCTGTGGTCGCGAAACTTAGCCGCCAAGCATCTCCAATTCACGAATTATATTGTTTTTTGTCTGGCTGTCTGTTCTGCCTTCTCTGCCCGCTGTCTGCTCTGTGTGCGTGATCCGCATGACCCGGCAGGTGTTCGACAGGGCCTCGGTCGAGGCAGTGCTGCAGGAGTGGTTCCGATCCATGGCGGACCTTCCCGCCGGCATCAGACGAGCCGTTGAAATGGTAAGATATTTTGCTGCTTGTGGTGAAGATTTGCCGAGATGAACGGGTGTTGAAGCGGGCGCGGACTTGGGAAAAGGGTTTGCGCGGGCAGTGGGAGGAAGGGTCGGGAAACAGGGTGTGAATTTGCTCTAGGTCATGTTTCCAAATCCCTGCTTCTCAAATTCCGCCGTTGGTTTCTAGGTCGCGCACCTGCTACTCGCTCCCCTCGCCCGTCCCCACCCCTCACGCCGCGTCACCACCAGTATTACCCGGCACCTCTCACGTAACTTTTCTTGCCTCCGCGTTTGCTCACAATTTCCACTAAAGCCTGGTGATCTCAGCAGCAGCAAGATCGTGTGGTCGTGTCTTCGGACGCAAAAGTCTGCGCCTTTCGCTGCTCCCCGCTGATCTCCAGCTGTTGTCTCCCTGCTCCCCCTCTTCCGCCCCGATCAGGGTCTGGTGAGCTCGGCGCAGATCGCGCGATTCATGTCAATCGACGCGCGCCCCACCATCGCGCGCATCGTCTCCCGCGCTACCCCCGCCGAGGTCTCGCGCGCATTCGTCGGCCGGTGAGTTCCGAGTCCGGTCATGATCCCATCCCCTGCCGTCATATCCCGTCCAGTCATTCTTGCTCCGATCTGCTTCCGTTTCCTGCCCGCTGTCGCCGCGCGACCTCGTCTCGTGGTGAGCGGTTCCGTTTTGGACTGGAGAAAACGAAGGAAAGGGAAAGAGGGGTGGAGAAGGGCGAAAGGGGAAGTGGGGGCCTGTGGGTAATTGGTGTGTGGACGGGGTCCGGCGTTCACCTGCAAGCTGTTGCATGAGCAGGCCTCCCTGTCTGTCTTGTTCTCAACGTTCCCTTCCCCGCCCGCCTCTTTCCCCATTCCCTCCAAACCCCCTTGCGCCCGCCGGCCCCCCTGCCTCTTCCCTTCTGCCAGCATGATGGCGGATCCGGCGTTCATCTACAAGCTGCTGCTGGAGCAGGCCGTCACCATCGGCACTTCCTATCCCTGCCGTCTCAGCGTTCCCTTTCCCCCACCTTCTCGCCGCGTTCTCTCCTCCCGCCCGCCCCCCCCCAACAGCATGATGGCGGATCCAGCGTTCATCTACAAGCTGCTGCTGGAGCAGGCCGTCACCATCGGCACTTCCTATCCCTGCCGTCTCAGCATTCCCTTCCCCCCACCTTCTCGCCGCGTTCTCTCCTCCCGCATCCCCCCCCCCCTCCCCCCCCCCCCCCCCCCCTGCCAGCATGATGGCGGATCCAGCGTTCATCTACAAGCTGCTGCTGGAGCAGGCCGTCACAGTCGGCACGTCCGCGTGGTGGGAGGTCAAGCAACGCGGCGACAGGTGAGCGTCACGGAACGCAAACTGGAGAGTGGGGGAGATTGATTTTCGAGTGAGGGAATCCGATTTACCCAAGCGAAAGGTCCAGTCTCCACAATCGGCCGAGCCGTGCAATCCTAAGCCACATTCATCCCCCGCATTCCCATTAGATTTGGATTAAAACACTGTGCAATCTCCCTGACCTTCCCCCTCCCTCCTCTCCCCCCCACATTCATTCCCCCCCTCCAGACTGAAGGACGAGTGGGGGCTGGCGTTGACCAACGTGCTGACGCTCTCTCTGTGCAACGCGGCGGTGGTGTGGTCGCTGTCCCCCACGCGCTCGTACGGCTCCACGGCCACGTCAGAGTGGCAGATGGCGCTACAGAAGCTGCCAAACAACATGTTCGACAAGAGCTACCCCCTGCGCGAGTTCAACCTGCCCGCCCGCGCCGGCAGCTTCTTCTTCAATGCTGCCAAGCTCAGCCTCGTCGGCTCCACGGTCGGCGCCCTGGGGGGCCTCGCCTCCAACGCCATCCTCTCGGCCGTTTCCAAGGGGTAAGCCTGGTAGGTCGGGGTAAGCCTGGTCTGGTCTGGTACAAGTGGGGAAGCCTGCCCGCCCGCGCCGGCAGCTTCTTTTTCAACGCTGCCAAGCTCAGCCTCGTGGGGTCCACGGTTGGCGCCCTGGGGGGCCTTGCCTCCAACGCCATCCTCTCAGCTGTCTCCAAGGGGTAAGCCTGGCACCTCCTTCCCTCTCTCTGCTCGCTGTGTGCACAATCCTGAGCTTCTGCCTGCTGCTCCTGCAGTCCCGTTTTCCCCGTTGCTTCTGCGGCCTCCTCCCAGTCTCTCTACCATCTGAGCCACCCTCCACTCCCACTTTTCAACCTCATCTCCTCCCACCCACACGCCCTCATACCCTCCTCTCTCCTCTCCCCCATTTCCCAATCCCCGCCTTTCCCCTCCGCTCTCCCCGTTCCCCTTTCTCCGCTGTGCAGCAAGGAGGGGTATCGGCCGTCAGTGGTGGTGCCATCCGCCAGCACGAGTGCAGCGGCGTACGGGGCGCACACAGGGCTGTCAGGCAACCTGCGCTACCAGCTGCTGTACGGACTCGACCGCATGTTGCAGCAGCACTTCAACCACATCCCCGTTGCTGTCCTCGGCACCACTGCGCTCAGGTGGGTGGATGGGGGTCTTGGGTTGCATGAGGCATTACATGCGGACATGCTGGTTGGTGGTTACACATGCACGGGGAACCTGAAATGCAGATGGGGCTGTTGTGGTGGGGTTATGCATGGTGCTGTGGGGCTCCACATGGGGTTCGGTTCGCGGGCAGCCAATCTGTGGGCAGGTAGAGCGTTGTCATGCCTGTGGGTCAACTGAGCGGTTCTCCTCCCTTGTGTCGTACGATTCATTATCCTGCAGGTGTGGCAACGTTCTATTGGGCGAGCCGTCTCGTCTGATGTGGCTGGGGATGGACGGCGAGGCGCAGCAACAGGCCAAGGCAGAGCAGCAGGCGTACCGCCGCCCGTCCCGCTCCTCCGGTGCCGGCTCCAAGACTAACTCGTTCCTGCAATCACTGCCCTTCGGCAAGAAATCAGAGGAAGCACAGCCTAAGAAAAAGAGTGCTGCTAGGAGAGTGACCAAGGCTGCGGCTGCAGGAGGGGCGGAGAGTGGCGCAGAGGTGGGTGCAGTAAGTTCAGAGGGGGCGGAGAAGGTGCAAGGGACGGGAGGTGCAGCTCGCACGACAAAGCGTAAGGTGAAGCGGAAGGTGTCAGTTGCTCAGTAGGACTTATTATAATGTTAATGAATATCATTACTGCGTTGTCTGATTCTTTCCATGTTGATGGAAATTCATTATGGTTCTCCCTCAATGACAGCCCTAGTGAAATCGGAATCAAATCAAATTATAATTGATACGTGGGTGGCGAAAGCGTAACAACCGTCTGTGTAGCCCTGCTATGCGAAAACTCGCAACTTTTCTTTCGCTTATTGCTCTTACTGCCACTGGCAGCCGTGTGCTGACGTGTTTCGCACCATCGCCATGCAAGCACATGACATCCAGCCCGGGCATGTGCACACCCACACAGCGCACCATCACGTGACGCACCAGCAAAAATGTCTGCGCTGTTGAAATTCCAACGACTCTTTCCTTTCCTTTCGCCACAGGTGGTAGTGGCATCGCATCGCAGGCATCCACGGCGCTGCTTTGCCTCCTTGGAGCGGCGCGGGATTCTCCTCTCGCCGCCAGAGCCTCCAATCGCTGCGGCTGCTGGTACGAGCAAGCGCTGAACTGCGCTCCCTCCCTCTTCCTGCATTGGACTCGTTTCTTTGCCCTGTGCGATGTGTGAAGACAGTAGGTTGGGTGCGTTCAAGACGAGAATAGTAGCCATCCCGCGGCCAGATGCGTTCGACGGCGTTCGCTTGTTTCTTGGGCACGCGAAAGGTCCAGTGATATTAGGTTGGGTGATAGCCAGAGGTAGTGCATCAGATTCGGGGACTTTCAAGAGGTTGTGCGAGCGACTAGTGCGACGAGCGGAGTAGTGCGGCGAGCGACCAGAGCGACGAGCAAGTCTTGCGACGAACGATTAATGCGACGAGTGGTTGAGACCGAAATGGCAGCAGCCGCTTCAGTCTGCTTCAGTAACAGCAGCAGTGGCGGTGGCGGCGGAGGCGGCGAACACAAGGAGAAAGACACGTGGACCTCTCGCCACAGCGCGTTCAGGCTACCATTCCTGAGCGCAGTTCCCGACTCGCCCCTTGACCCCTCCTCCCTCCTCTCCTCCCCCACCGTCACCTCCCCCTCCGCCTCTACCGCGGCCACCGCCGCCGCCGGTGCCGCCGAGGTCATACCCGAGAGCCTTTCAACCGCGTCTTTCATTCGTCGGCGCGCGCATCACGAGGCTTGCGCGCATGGGGCGGGACAAGATGATGGTGACTATAACGCGCGGGAGAAAGCTGATAGTGGCGGTGGTGACTATAACGCGCGACAGAAGCATCCCGACGCGTACACAGCGGACGACGACGAGGCGACTGTGCGACGTCGCCTGGCAGCCGAAGGGATGGAGATGCGCGACCTGGTGCCACGTGGACGAATGAGCGCGTGGCACGCGGCCATCGTGTTCGTCTATCACATGCTGCCGTACACGCCCCTCCCCTGCACGCTCGCCACGCTGGCCTGCTTCTACGGGTACAGGTGAGTCAACGGGGTCAACAAGGTCAACCCTGGTCAATTTGACATGTCTCTGGTAAAAAAGCTGGAACATAAGTCCAATCTTGTTATGTGCAGTCAATAAGGTCAACTCTGGTTGAGGTTTCCACTTCTAGTCAGCTCTGCCAGAACCAGATAACTCTGGTCGAACCAGTCAAACTCTTAACAAACAATAAACGCTTGCTAACTCAGCAAGTGCTGACTCAGCACACCACAATAACTTCGCTCCATCGTTCGTTCGTGTAAATGTCTGCTCATTTGACCATGTCATCTGCTGCGTACGCATGCTCATGCGGCGTTTCATCTCTGGTGTGACGTGGCAGGGCGTACGGTTGGCAGGGCGCAGTGGCGGTGGTGCTGCTGCTGCTCTTCCTCCGCCTCATTCCCCTCTACTACAACTCTGCCTGGCGCAAGAAACTCACTGTAAGCAGCTTCGATGTTTGTCTTAAGCACTAAATTCACAAGTCTTAACATCTCTGTGTGATGTCAAAATCACCCTAACAATTTTCCTGTCCGCGCACTCCTCCCCACCCCCTTCCCTCTCCCGATGTTTCTCCCCCGATATGTGCTGCCCGCGCTTCCCTGCCTCCCCCTCTCCTCTCTTCCCTCTCCCCATCTCCCCCTTCCCCTCTCCCCTCCCCTCTTTTCTTTCTCTCTCCCGCTCCTGCAGTTCCTATACGAGGCAATGGCGCACTACATGACACGCGTGCGTGTCATCGTGCCAGCTCAGCAGGTGCCACGTGGCGGGTACCTGTTCACGGCGCATCCCCACGGGCGCATGTTCTACAGCAGCAGCATGCTCACGCAGACGGCTCACCTCTGGAAGGACACATTCTGCCCGCACGGTAGGTCTGCTGGGCACATGACATGGTTGTATTTGGCCCCATGTAGGTCTGCAGGTAGGTACATGCATGGCATGGTATTACACAAGTAGTCGTGCCCCCATAGGACCTGCTCGTGGGGTACCTTGGCTGACTTATGGTCAGTGCAAAACAAGAAAAAAGAGAAAGAAAAAGAGACATTTGTTCCAGATAAGGCATGTGTGGGCGCATGGGATGGGGTCCGCACCTCCCTCATTGTTCTCCCCTCCCACACCCCCTCACATTCCCATACGTCCCTTCCAGGCGAGCTGTTCGGGGCGGCCAACAGCACCTTCTTCGAGGTGCCAGTCATTCGCTCCATGCTTTATATGGCTGGAGCCATCCCCGCTAGCAGAGGCAGCATCATTGACAAGCTCAGGCACGGCGACCATGTGAGTGTAGTCACCCTGCGGTGTGTAGTACTATGCGGTTTTTTACTCTGGGTGTAGTAACCCAGACTGCAGTATTAATTTACGCGCAGCTGTGGTAACCAGGTGCGACTAAACACAGTGGCAGGAACGTAGTGATGAGCCTCAGTATGTCCCCTTCACCGCAGTTACCCCCAAACAACCCTCCATCCTCCTGCCCACGGCCCTGCATGCGTGGGTGGCAGGTGGGCATAGTGGTGGGCGGCATCAGGGAGGTGTGTCTGGGCACCAACCCTCACACGGACGTGCTCTACCTCATGAGGCGGTGAGTGCATCGCTTTGACTCGCCTTGACTTGCGTTGACTTGCGTTCGCTTGCGTTCGCGTGCGTTGGCTTCGTCACTATAGTGTATAGTGGGCAATGTTAGTGGCGCTGAATCCCATGGTGATGGCCATTGCCTGAATTTGTACCTTACCCATGTTGTGACTTGTGCATTGCTGGCATGGCATGGCATGGCATGGCATGGCATGGCATGGCATGGCATGTCATGGTATGGCATGGTATGGCATGGCGTGTGTACATCAGGCGTGGGTTTGCGCGCATAGCAGTGGAGGAGAAGGTGGGGGTGGTTCCCATGTACTGCTTCAATGAAACCCAGGTCAGTGCAACTCCCAGCCCATGCTCATGCGTGGGCATCCAGTTAAAATAGTTGAATTTTGAGTCGACTCAAAAGTAAAGGTGGGGTTCAGTGCTACTCCTCGCCCCATGCTCATGCGTGTGCATTCTGTTAAAAGCAGCAACATGCCTTCCACTGCGTACTTACATACTGGCTGGATAGGGTGGTTCCGCTGTTTGTTCCTTTCAATGCTGCTCACCTTTCTGTTTCTCCTTTCTTATTTGCCTTGCACCTCCTTTTTGTGCTTCCATTTGTCATGATGCTGCAGTTGTTCAAGCACGATCCACTCTGGCTGCTCCAGTTCTGGGCTGTGGTGAATCGCTATTGGCGTATCGGCGTCCCGTTTATGAGGGGGGTATGGCACATGCCAATGCCCTTCCGCAGGTATGGCAACGGCTTGTCTAGCTGATGCAAGGAAGTATATTTTAATTCGTATTCTGACTCTGTTTGTTTCTCGACGTGCAGGGAGCTATTGATTGTGGTTGGGAAGCCCCTGTTTGCCCGAGACGGAGAGTGTTGACGAGTTTCATGCTCGATACGTGGAAGAAATTTCTGTTATTTTCCATAGATTCGTCCAAATATCTTCTCGGCCGAAACACAATCTGTTGATTCGCTAGAAGTTGCGACCAAAAAGTTCGTCGTAGGATGGGATTGTTTGGTTTATAAGAGATAGAAGTGGCAGGTACAAAATATTTTAACATTGTAAATATGGAACATCCTCTGTTGACCTTTATGTCTGAGAATCATCGCAGCTGTTAGCGGGGACATCGAGATTCCCGTGCGCACCCCTTCGATCTCTTCTTCTCACACACGCCTATCTTCTCCCTTCTCTTTCTGCTAGACCAGCGATTTGCTGGCACAGTTGTTTCTAGGGTTTCACTGCCCTCAGCCACACAAATTCCTGGGATCACGCGGCTCGTAACACCGTGTCTGTACCGAATAACGGACAGATTACTAGCGATACAGTCTCCTGGTGATCAAATCGCGGTTTGATTGAACGCCATGGCGCCCGTGCGCGAGGCCCATTTCCCCGTGCCAGTGCTCTCCGATAACCCCGACGGCTGGGGACCCACCACTCTCCCCGAGCAGTTTAAAGACGTCCCGTACGCGCCGTTCAATAAGGGCGACCGCGTCGGCCGCGCAGCGGACTGGACCTCCCAAGGATACCGTACGTCTCGTGCCGCGTGCCGTGCACCGCGGTTTCGCGCTTCTGATCCCTTGCTCTCTGCTAGGTTTATCCGTTTCGATCGCGTTACGTGGAATTAGTGGAGCCTCCGGCTGTAACGCTCAGATTGTTTGCGGCAGTCATGCCGCTGCCAGTGGGTAGGGGCCGATCCCATTCAGCGAGGGTTTAGCGAGTCTTTTGATCCCGCTGTTTCTGCTGCAGGCATCGCCTCTCGAGGTCCCACCTGTCACTCAGTTATCGTATATCGAGGGGTCGTTTACCGAGTTCTCATCTCGTCCGTCTCTCTCGCTCCTGTCACTCCTTCGCAAATCCGTCGCTTTATTTCGCCGATTTCGCAGGTCGCTACGATCGCGATCGCCAGGGCGGGGCGGGCGGGGTGAATGCCGCCTTCTCCTTCTTCCAGGACCAGGATGAGGTGGGTGGCCTCCGTTGTCGCGTAGCGCTCGTCTCACCTCTCTGCATCCCCCGCCTATTCGAGCTATTGGCTCTCGCATGGTATCAAGCTGCTCGCCGCGTTTCGCCTGCCTCTTATCGACTGCTCAATTCCTCCTTCGTTTCTCTCCCGCACCCGTCCATCCCGTCATCACCAATCCTAATCGTCCACGTCATTGTCACCATCCACGTCACCCCGGTCGTCCACGTCATCATTGCAGGACTCGTTTCAACTGGTGGACACCAAGCCCGTGCAGAAGCCTCGCTACGGGCCCCGCCGCTTCTTCCAGGTTCGCCCGCCCTTTCCGCACCCCCCCTCCCCCCCCCCCCCCCCCCTCTCCCCTTTCTCTCCCCCATCATCCCCCCTTCCCCACCTCCCAACCCCCCACCACCCCCGCTCTTAAGCCTCATTTTCTTCTTCCGCTCCTTGATCCATTTCCACCTTTTATTTCCAATCCAATTCTTCTCACTCGCCGCGTTTGTGACCTCCGTTTTTATCTCACTTATTCTTCTCTCCTCGCTGGCCGCTTCGATTTCCACTTCATTCTCCGTTCCTCTGCGCTGCCCCAATGTTTCCCACCCGTCCGCGTTCCGCCGCTCCCTCAGAATCGGTTCCAGAACCGGCGCGGGGAGGAGGGGAAGCGCGACGGGCGCGACAGCGGCGCGGGCGCGGACAGGGAGCGGCAGCGGCAGCAGCGCATGCAGCAGCAGAAGCGCGGGCAGTGGAACCCGTACTACGACCGCAACGCGCAGCGCGCCACGTACAACAGCTCCGTCGACATCCGCCCCGAGTGGGTGGTGCTCGAACAAATCCCGCTCTCCGCTCTCTCGAAACTCTCCTTCAACGCGGGGGAGCCCCAGGACGTGTGAGTATGAGAGAGGGGGGGGGTTGGAGGAGTTTGAAAAAGGGTGAGGGGAGGGGGGGCAGAGAGAGAGCGCGCGACGTACAACAGCTCCGTGGACATCCGGCCCGAGTGGGTGGTGCTCGAACAGATCCCGCTCTCCGCTCTCTCGAAGCTGTCTTTCAACGCGGGGGAGCCGCAGGACGTGTGAGTATGAGAGAGGGAGAAGGGGAGGGGGAGAGGGGGAGAAGGAGGGAGGGAGGGAGGGACGGAGGGAGGGAGGGAAGGAGGGAGGGAGGGGGATGGGGAGGGGGCAGGGAAGGAGGGAGGGAGAGAGAAAGAGAGATAGGGAGGGAGAGTGTGAAGAATGAGGTAGTTAACTTGTTTTTTCGCCCTACCATTGCAGTACTTTCCCTTCCTTCCTCAACTGCTCCTTCGCTCTCTTCTCCCTTTCTCTTCCTTCCCTCCTCTCCCCTCCCCTCCCCTCCCCTCCCCTCCCCTCCCCTCCCCTCCCCTCTCCTATTCCTCCTCCCTGTGGATTATCGTCCCTTTCTCTCACACGGCCCCCTCAACGCCTCACGTCCCTACTCTTCTGTTGCAGTACGACGTGTGGCGCGCTCGAGTATTACGACAAGACGTTTGACCGAGTCAACCCCAAGGTATGGCCGTTGACCGAGTCAACCTTAAGGTATGGCCGTTGACCGAGTCAACCCCAAGGTATGGCCGTTGATGCTCTTGCCCCTTGTTCGAATCCTCCCTTCTTCCCCTCGCTTCCTTTCTCCCATCCCCTCCCCACCACTCCACGTCACCTCCACACCCCCCTTCCCTCTTCCCTCCCCACTTTTCCCTTCCCCTCTCCTTCCCCTCCCCCGTCCCCCCTTCCCTCTCTCCCTTTACTCACTGTAGTCGGAGCGGCCGTTGGAGAGGCGACTTTTGAGGCGCCTCAAAAGCCCTCCCCCGTCCCCCCTTCCCTCCTCCTCAACCCCTTTACTCACTGCAGTCGGAGCGGCCGTTGGAGAGGTGTGAAACGCGCCAGTTCCACAAGGTGACGACGAGCGACGACCCCGTGGTGAAGCGGCTGGCGGCGGAGGGCGGAGACGCGCCCGCGGTCTTTGCCACGGACGCCATCCTCTCCACGCTCATGTGCGCGCCGCGCTCCGTGTACTCGTGGGACGTGGTCGTGCACAAGAGCGGCGGGAAGCTGTTCTTCGACCAGCGGGACTCGTCATTTGACTTGCTCACGGTGAGTGCTGTGTGGTAGTCTGCGCGTTTGCCCGCATGCCTGCAGCTGAGGACAGAGGTCAGCAGCATCCCTAGCAAGCCTCCCTGCCCCCCTTGTCACGCGCCCCTGCAGGTTAACGAGACAGCAACGGGCATCGAGCCAGCGGCAGAGGGCAGCATCAACGTCATCATATCGATCCTGCCACCCTACTTCCCTTTCCTGCCCCACCCCCCACCACCCTTGTCACGCGCCCCTGCAGGTGAACGAGACAGCAACGGGCATCGAGCCAGCGGCAGAGGACAGCATCAACGGCATAGCGTCGCTCAGCCAGGAGGCGACGTTCATCAACCAGAACTTCTCCCAGCAGATCGTCAACAAGGTGGGTGCAGTGGAGTGGTTGCAGTGGGCTCAAGGTGGGATCACTGGGTTCACTGGGAACTCACTGGGTGCACAGAAGCATGGTTATGGGCACGTGGTGGGTTCAGTTCAGCCAGGAGGCGACGTTCATCAACCAGAACTTCTCCCAGCAGATCGTCAACAAGGTAAGGTTAACGCACGCACTGGGCACAAGGTGGGGTGAGTGGGTGCACTAGAAGTTCACTGGGTGCTGTGAAGCAAGCATGGTTACGGGCACGTGGTGCGCTCAGCCAGGAGGTCACGTTTATCAACCAGAACTTCTCCCAGCAGATCGTCAAGAAGGTGAGTCAGTGGGGTGAGCACCAGGTGAGGTCGATGGGGACGGTGGGTGTTGTGAATGCCTGGTCAAGGAGGTGGTTACCTCTTTAAATGCGAGCCAGATTTGTCATTTTTAGGTTTGAGAAACGGATCGTCACACTTGTGTGCCCGCCTTCCCTGCTGCCCCATCTCCCGCGTGTCTGTGTCTGTGTGTGCTTCTGCGTGTATGTGCATGTGCGTGTGTGGTGTCTGTGCGTGGGAGCAGAAGGGAGCGAAGCGCCAGTTCGCGGAGGCGAATCCGTTTGCAGCGGAGGGCGAGGAGGTGGCGTCCGTGGCGTACCGCTACCGCAAGTGGATGCTGGACGGGGTGAGTGGGTGCTGAGGCGGGTGGGATGGAGGGTGAGGAGGTGGCGTCTGTGGCGTACCGCTACCGCAAGTGGATGCTGGACGGGGTGAGTGATGAGCGGTTGAGTGGGGTGACTGGGTGTTGGAAGGGGTGGATGGCCACACGCTGGGGCGGGGGTGGGGCGGGGGTGGGGTTGAGGTGGGTGGGATGGAGGGTGAGGAGGTGGCGTCTGTGGCGTACCGCTACCGCAAGTGGATGCTGGACGGGGTGAGTGATGAGCGGTTGAGTGGGGTGACTGGGTGTTGGAAGGGGTGAGTGGCCACATGCTGGGGCGCGGGGGGTTGAGGTGGGGGAAATGGAGGGCGAGGAGGTGGCATTAGTGGCGTACCGCTACCGCAAGTGGATGCTGGATGGGGTGAGTGCATGCTGAGAGGAGTGGGGGTTAGGAGGGGAGAGTGAAGATAGGGGGAGCGGCTAGACACTGGAGTGTTGGGTCTGAGCCTTGAAGCGTGCAGCTGATTCGTTGCTGCTGTGCTATGTGCTGTGACCCCTCTCTCGCCCCTGCAGGACATGCCATTGGTGGTGCGCTGTGAGCTAGACGCAGTGGTGGACATGAGGGGGCAGGAGATGCTTTTACTTGCACCACACGCGCACACACATATGCATAATCCTTGCCTCTCACACCCCCCTGCCTGCTCCCCTCCGCTCCCCTGCAGGACATGCCTCTGGTGGTGCGATGCGAGTTAGACGCGGTGGTGGACATGCTGGGGCAGGAGATGCTCGCCACAGTGAACGGGGAGCAAACACTTTGCTCATGCCTGCCCTGTGCACGCTGCTCCCATGTCTCTCTGTCCCTTGTCCCGCTGCAGGACATGCCGTTGGTGGTGCGCTGTGAGCTAGACGCGGTGTTGGACATGCGGGGGCAGGAGATGCTGGCAACTGTGAATGCGCTGAACGAGTTTGACCCCAAGGTCACGGGCGTGGACTGGCGCGCCAAGATCGACAATCAAAGGGGCGCGGTGAGTCAGCTCTCTGCTTCACGGCTAAGTCAAGTCGAGTGCATTGGGTGGGTCTTAGATGCTGGCGACGGTGAATGCGCTCAACGAGTTTGACCCCAAGGTCACGGGCGTCGACTGGCGCGCCAAGATCGACAATCAAAGGGGCGCGGTGAGTCAGCTCTCTGCTTCACGGCTAAGTCAAGTCGAGTGCATTGGGTGGGTCTTAGATGCTGGCGACGGTGAATTCGCTCAACGAGTTTGACCCCAAGGTCACGGGCGTCGACTGGCGCGCCAAGATCGACAATCAAAGGGGCGCGGTGAGTCAGCTCTCTGCTTCACGGCTAAGTCAAGTCGAGTGCATTGGGTGGGTCTTAGATGCTGGCGACGGTGAATGCGCTCAACGAGTTTGACCCCAAGGTCACGGGCGTCGACTGGCGCGCCAAGATCGACAATCAAAGGGGCGCGGTGAGTCAGCTCTCTGCTTCACGGCTAAGTCAAGTCGAGTGCATTGGGTGGGTCTTAGATGCTGGCGACGGTGAATGCGCTCAACGAGTTTGACCCCAAGGTCACGGGCGTCGACTGGCGCGCCAAGATCGACAATCAAAGGGGCGCGGTGAGTCAGCTCTCTGCTTCACGGCTAAGTCAAGTCAGGTGCATTGGGTGGGTCTTAGATGCTGGCGACGGTGAACGCACTCAACGAGTTTGACCCCAAGGTCACGGGGGTGGACTGGCGCGCCAAGATCGACAACCAGAGAGGCGCGGTGAGTCTCGCACTCTCTTCCTTCCATTCACGGCTAAGTCAAGTCAAGTGCATTGGGTGGGTCCTAGATGCTCGCCACTGTGAACGCGCTCAACGAGTTTGACCCCAAGGTCATGGGCGTGGACTGGCGCGCCAAGATCGACAACCAGCGCGGCGCGGTGAGTTATTGGAAATGCGCAAGGAGAAGCAGAACATGCTCCTTTGCGCTTGATTCGCACACACACACACACACACACACACACACACACACACACACACACACACACACACACACACACACACACCTCGCCCTCTCCTCCTGTCCCGTTGCCGTGCTGACAGAGGAGCTGTTGAATCAATTGCACTGGGACTTGACTGGTCCTTCTGGCTACGCTGATGCTTTCACCTGCGTGCATGTGTGTTAATGAGTGTAACGCCATGCTGCCCCTTTCCCCCCTTCTCGTTCAGGTGCTGGCAACGGAGCTGAAGAACAACAGCAACAAGCTCGCCAAGTGGACGGCCCAAGGTGGCTCTTGCATCGACTCAAATGACTCATGCACTTCTTGATGCGCCCATGTGTGTGTGTGTGTGTGTGTGTGTGTGTGTGCGTGTGTGTGTGTGTGTGTGTGTGTGTGTGCGTGTGTGTGTGTGTGTGTGTTTGCGGTGCTGCCATGCTGCCCCCTTCCCTCCATTGCCAGGTCCTAGCAACGGAGCTGAAGAACAACAGCAACAAGCTTGCCAAGTGGACGGCTCAAGCGCTGCTCGCAGGGGCCGATCTGGTGCGCTTGGGGGGGGAGGGCAGTGCAGTGGGCGTTGAGCAAGGGAAGGGTGACTTGCCGGGGAAGGGTGGCGTGCGGGGGAGGGTGGCGTGCGGGGGAGGGTGGCGTGCGGGGGAGGGTGGCGTGCGGGGGAGGGTGGCGTGCGGGGGAGGGTGGCGTGCGGGGGAGGGTGGCGTGCGGGGGAGGGTGGCGTGCGGGGGAGGGTGGCGTGCGGGGGAGGGTGGCGTGCGGGGGAGGGTGGCGTGCGGGGGAGGGTGGCGTGCGGGGGAGGGTGGCGTGCGGGGGAGGGTGGCGTGCGGGGGAGGGTGGCGTGCGGGGGAGGGTGGCGTGCGGGGGAGGGTGGCGTGCGGGGGAGGGTGGCGTGCGGGGGAGGGTGGCGTGCGGGGAAGGGTGGCGTGCGGGGGAGGGTGGCGTGCGGGGGAGGGTGGCGTGCGGGGAAGGGTGGCGTGCGGGGGAGGGCGTGCTTATAACGGGCAGGTGGCTGGGAGTCTGGTTCCCTTGTCTCTCTCTCCTTGCAATCATTGCCTTGGTGCTGCCTCTGCCCACGCTCCTCGCCTCCCGCCTTTGCCAATGAAGCTGTGGGTGCATGTTATGTTGCGAGTGTAACCCAGGCAAGCTCACTTCCCTACATCCTGTCTTCTCCCCCCCTCCCGCCCCCCACTTCCACCCCCACTTCTCCCCCCTCCTCCTCCTCCTCCCTCTCCTTTCGCTTGCTCGCTGCTGGGGAGAGCAGATGAAGCTGGGGTACGTGTCGCGAGTGTTCCCCAAGAACAACCTCAAGCACACCATTCTCGCAGTGCAGGTCAGTGCCGCTCAACGCTGGTCAGTGCAGGTCAATGCTGGTCAACGCGGTTGCAAAGGAAAGTGGGCGTTTCTTTCCGTTTTGACCATGCACTCCGTTTTCTCCCTCACGGTCCCATCCCACGGCCCTGCCCCTCTACTCGTCCACCCGCCATCTCTCCCCTTCTCTGCTCTATCCCTTCCTTCCGTTCCCTCCCTTCCCACACGTTTCCCTCCTTACCCCCACTTTCTCCCCCCTCCTCACCCTTCCCACCCTTCTCTTCTTCTCCGCTCCATCCCCTCCCCTCCCCACCCCTCTCCGCCCCTCCCTCCCCTCCTCTCCCCAGGCGTACAAGCCCCGGGAGCTGGCGATGCAGATAACGCTCTCCTCCGCCAACATGTGGGGCATCGTCAAGGTGCGTTGTGTGCATGGGGGGCATGTGTGGGGGGCATAAAGACATGTGGGGCATGTGGGGCATGTGGGGCATGTGGGGCATGGGGGGCATGTGGGGTATGGGGGGGCGTGGGGGGGCGTGGGGGGCATGGGGGGGCGTGGAGGGCATGGGGGGCATGGGGCATGGGGGGCATGGGGGGCAATGGGGAGCATGGGGGGGCATGCAGGGCATTGTGAAGGGGTGTCAATGGCATGAGCATGCACCGCCAGCAGATGCATGGGTGGTGTGCGTGCACGTCGGGATCTGCCTCATGCTCCACCTCCGTTCTTCAACGCCCTCCTCCCATCCTCCCATCCTCCCATCCTCCCATCCTCCCATCCTCCCATCCTCCCATCCTCCCATCCTCCCATCCTCCCATCCTCCCATCCTCCCATCCTCCCATCCTCCCATCCTCCCATCCTCCCATCCTCCCATCCTCCCATCCTCCCATCCTCCCATCCTCCCATCCTCCCATCCTCCCATCCTCCCATCCTCCCATCCTCCCATCCTCCCATCCTCCATCCCCATCCTCCCATCCTCCCATCCTCCCATCCTCCCATCCTCCCATCCTCCCATCCTCCCATCCTCCCATCCTCCCATCCTCCCATCCTCCCATCCTCCCATCCTCCCATCCTCCCATCCTCCCATCCTCCCATCCTCCCATCCTCCCATCCTCCCATCCTCCCATCCTCCCATCCTCCCATCCTCCCATCCTCCCATCCTCCCATCCTCCCATCCTCCCATCCTCCCATCCTCCCATCCTCCCATCCTCCCATCCTCCCATCCTCCCATTCACCTCCCATCCTCCCATCCCCCATCCTCCCATCCTCCCATCCTCCATCCTCCCAATCCTCCCATCGGCCTCCCATCCTCCCATCCTCCCATCCTCCCATCCTCCCATCTCCCATCCTCCCATCCTCCCATCCTCCCCATCCTCCCATCCTCCCATCCTCCCATCCTCCCATCCTCCCATCCTGTCCCATCCCTCACATCCTCCCATCCTCCCACCCTCACATCCTCCCATCCTCCCATCCTCCCATCCCTCCCATTCCTCCATCCTCCCATCCTCCCATCCTCCCATTCCCATCCTCCCATCCTCCCATCCTCCCATCCTCCCATCCTCCCATCCCTCCATCCTCCCATCCTCCCATCCTCCCATCCTCCCATCCTCCCATCCTCCCATCCTCCCATCCTCCCCTCCTCATCCTCCCATCCCTCCCTCCATCCTCCCATCCTCCCATCCTCCCATCCTCCCATCCTCCCACTCCTCCCATCCTCCCATCCTCCCATCCTCCCATTCCTCTCCTCCATCCATCCTCCATCCTCCCATCCCTCCAATCCTCCCATCCTCTCCCATCCTCCCATCCTCCCATCCTCCCATCCTCCCATCCTCCCATCCTCCCATCCTCCCATCCTCCCATCCTCCCATCCTCCCATCCTCCCATCCTCCCATCCTCCCATCCTCCCATCCTCCCATCCTCCCATCCTCCCATCCTCCCATCCTCCATCCTCCCATCCTCCCATCCTCCCATCCTCCCATCCTCCCATCCTCCCATCCTCCCATCCTCCCATCCTCCCATCCTCCCATCCTCCCATCCTCCCATCCTCCCATCCTCCCATCCTCCCATCCTCCCATCCTCCCATCCTCCCATCCTCCCATCCTCCCATCCTTCCACCCGCACATAGCACACATGTGCCTGACCTCTGCTTTGTCTCACCTATCGCTTCCTGCTTCACCCATTTCTTGTCGTGTCAACCACGCTCCCCTCTCTCCCCTCCCCCGCACCATCAATAGCAAGTACCTAATCGTCAAGTACCCTTTTCCTCCTATCCCCACCCATCCCTTTGTGTCAATCAAAACCCTTCCAACCTCTTCTTCCTCGCTTTCCCTCTCCCCCTGCCCCCACCTCTCAACAGCACATAGTGGACATGTGTATGAAGCTCGAGGATGGCAAGTACCTCATCGTAAAGGACCCCAACAAGCCCTTCCTCAGGTAAACTTTTTCCTCAGGTACACCCTTCCCAGGTAGGTAAGCCTTTCCCTCGCTTCCCCCATCAAGGATGGCAAGTACCTCATTGTCAAGGACCCCAACAAGCCATTCCTCAGGTGAGCTCTCCCCCAGGTAAGCCCTCACATGGGTAAGTTCTTACCCTAGACCCCCTTGTTTTTCCTGGTAAACCCGTCTGATGTCACCCTGACGTCTTGATTTAATTCACTCACCGCATTTTGCTCCCTCATTCCCTCTCCGCACGCTCGACTCCCATGCCCCGTGCAGGCTGTACGAGGTGCCATCGGACGCATTTGATAACGATTATGTGGAGGAGCCCCTTGCCGAGGTAAGCCCTCCGCAAGGTGACTCCTTGCTGGGCGTCCTTGGCTCACACACAGCCTCCCTGCTTGTTACGTAGTTGCTTTTTGAGAAATTTCAAATCCCAACCTGACCCCTGCCGTGGCTTCTCGTCCTTACCCCATGCTTTGCACCATGCTGATACATCTGCCCCTTGCCCTAGTCTGTATCTCATCTTACGTGTGGCTCTCGTGCTGCCTTGCTCCCCTCGCGATGCACATGTGACACTGGTGCACTGTGCAGGAGGACCAGGCCCCGCCACCCCCAGAAGCAGCTGATGGTGACGCAGAAGCAGCGGCTGATTCCAATGCTGCTGCGTGATGCCGTTCTGGCGTCTAGGGTTTGCTTTGCTCTGTGCTGTTAGAGAGTTTTGACTGGTCATGCAATATTGTCAGGCTCACCCTGCCTCTGTGCTGGCCTCAGTGAAATAGGATGTGTTGCATTGCTGGCTATTGCATTGTGTCCCTTCCTACATTCAGTTGTGCGAGAATATGGAATCGAAACAGCTGCAAGTCCAAACTAGGTGAAAACCCACAGGATCATGTGAGGCAGGCAACAATGAAACACACACGCTTTAGCAAGACTCACAGAATTGCTGTGGCACGGGTACCCTCTGCTGCTACATCATGAGTGGACACACCTAGGCAAGGCAAAACCACTTCCACAGCACTGCAAGCCTGGCAGGCAAGGCAAGCCATATGCCTCGCCAACCACCCAATGCAGCTGTATGACCAGCACTCGTGTCCAAGCAGAACGAATCCCTCCCAACTCTCTTCCAACCCGTCCACCAGAGTCAGACCATACATGTCCGCTGCACATGCGGCAGCACCGTCGCTTCCTCCCCTCTTTTCCACCTCCTTCCCTTCTCCTTCCGTCCTCTCCTCCTCCTCCCCTTCCCCTCCTCCCATCGCATCAAGCCCGCCCCATGGACTGAAACCACCTCTGCACATACCCGGTGGGCGTCAGCAGCATCGGCACATACTGCTGCACGTGCCGCAGCACCGTCGCCTCCTCCTCCCCTCCTCCCCTCCTCCCTCCTCCCTTTCTCCCGCCCTCTTCACGCCCTCCCCATGGATTGGAACCACCGCTGCACATACCCAATGGGCGTCAGCAGCATCGGAACATACTGCTGCAAATGCGGCAGCACAGCCGTCTCCAGATGCCCCCAGATCTGCCGGTGATACCACGCCGATGCCGGCGCGTGCAGCTGCACATGCCGCAGCACTGATGCTTCCTCCACTCCCCTCCCCCGCCCCCTTCTCCCATCACATCAAGCCCTCCCCATGGATTGGAACCATCGCTGCACATACCCAATGGGAGTCATCAGCACCGGCACGTACCGCTGCACATGCGGCAGCACAGCCGTCTCCAGATGCCCCCAGATCTGCCAGTGATACCACGCCGATGCTTCCTCCTCCCCTCCCCTTCCCTCCACTCCTCCCCCTCCCTCGTCTCCCATCACATCAAGCCCTGCCCATACTCTGGAACCATCGCTGCACATACCCGATGGGCGTCATCAGCATAGGCACATACTGCTGCACATGCGGCAGCACAGTCGCCTCCAAATGCCCCCAGATCTGCCGGTGATACCACGCCGATGCCGGCGCGTGAAACCGCATCTTGAGCAGCTGCCAGTACAGAAACACCTGGAAGAAGCTGCGCTGCGGAGTCAGCAGGTAGAAGGCTAGTAACGGCCCCAGCATGACTTCTGTATTGGCTGTGAAGAGCTCTACTTGTTGTCGGTTTGCTGCTACCCACTCGCAGGGTTTTGAGAGGTAGGAACGGTAGAGGCTTGCTTGGCTGAAGTTCTGCTGGAGGTGCGTGGTGAGTGGGAGGAGGGAGCGCGCGGCGAGGGGCAGGAGGACAAGCGCGATGGGGTGCGGGGATGGGAGGAAGACGGAGCAGTGCATGAGTGTGAGGAGGTGGGGTCCGGTTAGGAGGGTTTGCAGCCAGGATTTGAGCGCGGGGAGGGAGAGCGCGGCGGGGCGGCCGTGGCGCTGCAGGATGGAGAGGGCGGACGCGACGAGCCCGCCGAACAGGGCGAGGCGGAAGGCGCGCACGAGCAGCGCGCGCGGGCACAGCGGGAAGAGCGCGACCAGCGCCATGGTTACCACCCACGCGTGCGCCACGAAGGTGTATGTCTGCAGACCCATGCGCGCGTTACCACCGGCGTTACCGCCCGTGTTACCGCCGGTGTTACCGCCGGTTCTGCTGCTGCCAGTTCTCCCCGTGGCCCCACTGTCCCCTGTCCCTGCTGCCGAGGCTCGGCCCGCGGCTGTGGGTCGGGGCGCAGTGGAGGCGGACGAAGGCGCGGCATAGGCGGACGAGGCGGGGGGGGTGGCGGAGGCGGGGGAAGCGGCGGGCTGCAGGGGGTCGACTTGGAAGTCGGGATCTACGCACTGGCGGAAGAACTTTTGCCGGTAGCGGCGGAGGACGGCGGGGTCGTTGGCTCGATCCGGCGGGATGGTGAGGTTGTTGAAATAGTCCCGCCACGCCGCGCTTCCCGCGAAGTCGAACGCCGCGAACGCCGCCTGCTGCTCCGCCGTGTTGCCCATTGGGGTTGCGCGTGCGCTGGCGACGCGGTGGGCGTGCGGATGCGGTGGAGAGGAAGAGCTGCGGGGGCCGGGTGATGGAGGAATGGCTTGATGCTGCGACGATGCGACAGAAGGAAGGGAGAGACGAGACGGGACGAGGAGGACAAGAGGAGCGAATCAGCACGGTAAAGGCACTAGGACGATAAATTACGGTAGTCGAATCTGTGATTCAGCGGATTCTTTCGAAAAGTATGATCTTGTTGCAGGTCATGTCTGCCACTTTGTACGGTCAACGAACCTCAACGAATGCGCGCCGCGAGGACCAAGCCGTTTTCCGTTTGAAGAGCCTCCGTCGTCACCGTCGTCGATAGAGACTAACAAACTAACTCTCAGATCCGTCGAGTCTACTAGAAAAACCTTCGGTGCGCGGAATCACGAGAAGTTCTCTAATAACGTACACACTACAAAAGTTTGCCTTCTGTGATTCCTCTCATGTTCGGTGCCTTCTATGGCCAACATACCCGATCGTGTCACTGGGTATAACGATTTGCAATGTTAATGTCATGAATGCCAGGAACTGTGTATTTCAAACAATGCATTAAGATGGAAAACGAATCACCAAAAGAGGCACTGAAACGTGTTTGCTACCAGATTCTTTGGCACAAACAAGGCAGAATGAAAACCATCATGGTAAATGGCAAACTACAATTGTTTAGTGCTTAACCACTTGGACGGCTTTCTCGAGAGCATTAACCACTTCCACCAGGAATAGCACCAATAACGTCACACAAGGCCGTAACGGAACCCGATGGATCACGAACACACCTGAAAGCATAGCCCTGATTCGAGAGGAGCACATGGAGGGCATGGAGAGAGAAGAAACAAAGACATTTTTGATTTCGAAGAACCAGGGACTATGGATGATGCTATCGAACGATACGCACGCCATTGTTTACACACGGCAGCGTGGCCTCAACATGAAGTTAGAAACTCGAGATTACAAACATCGATAACAAAATGATTGGCTGCATGACCTTTCTACGCCACTCACACCAATTATCTTCCGTGGCTCGTGAAGAGCCATGCAGACAGACGTGGTTGACTTGAAAATAATAAGCCCGCAAACCATGGGCCGACCGCCTGCTTCATTCATGTTGACCGAGCACTCCTCTATTTCTCCGTACTCAGAAAACTTCTGCAAACGAAACAAATGTGAACACAAATTAGGCGTTCCAACATGTGTTCTCCCAGTTTTACAAATTTTCAGAACGACGAGCTCACAACCGAGCTTACCAAAAAGCGCAGCGATTTAACCTTAGTATAAATGGTTTGTAGCTCGAAACGGCACCACCAAGACATCCCCACTTACTTCGAGCAACATTGCGGATGAAATCTCTGGAGGCAAATTGAGCAAGACGAGCTTGCGATTGGCAATTTTTTTGTCGGCTTCGGCCAGCAATGCCTCCCACAAACTCGCATCCTTCATAGCCCTGTGGTTACATTCAGACATGAGTGAGAAAATGCAATTCTGAATTTCACATTCACGACGAAACAGTGCGAGATGCACGATTGCCACATGTATAAGTGAGATATGCATAGTCCTGCGAACCCGGTGATGTCGCACCTAGAAAGAATAGGATGCGGACATGAAATGATCGGTTACAACTTACCAGTTCAGGATCAAAGGTTCGAGATCCTTTCTCGGCATCATCATCATCCTCCTCATCACCTCCGTTTCGTTAAGTACTTTGCCTGAAGACTCTTCAAGGATTCTCTTCCCCTTATCGCTTTGATCCATAACACGAAAAGTGCAGAGACGGCTGCAGCGCGGGAGGACAGGGAGGGGGAGGGGGAGTGCAGGAAAGATGGGGAAAGAGCTTAGCAGGACGGATGAGGGAGATGGAGAGGAACCGAAAATATGGGAGGGGGGCAGATCCGGGATAAAATAGGACAAGACAGAAAGCTTACCGCGGAGTCGCGGATCGAGAGTTGTATCCCAAAAGTCGCGGATCAAGAAAATAGAGTAGGCCAAGCGCGGATCAAGAAAGCTTTCTCTCCAAGCTCTTCGTTAGGTTCTGAAGTCCCTTTCCCTCTAACAGAAAAACGTCTGTGGTTTCCCCAGCGGGGTTCTGTCGCCAGCGCACCCATCACGCTGTCACGGGGCTTACGCATTTTACGAGAAATGAGACGTGGCGGCCATGCAGAGTTAGCCTGGGCAAAGCTAGCAGACCCTTGTTGGGTGTTGTTGCCCACGATTGAGAGGGAGTTTCAGACAGGGCGTGGCTGAATGAGTTGAAAACCCCAATTGTTGACGAAGTAGCTACAAACCGCTTCGCGAGCTCTTCGAGGAGACCAGCAATTTGTTCAGACACCTCGCGAATCAACTCCCAGAGCTCGCAGATGTGGTGGTTACATTTCGCACAAACTGCTTCAAACTGCTAACTCAATGACCCTGATTGCATGCAAGCCCCAGCGAGGAAGTTGGCTGGACCCTGTTCTGTTGCCGCACCACTTGGTGCGGACCCCTCCGCTCCGCACTGCACCAAATTGATGCGCCCCGAGCCTCCTGTCGCACAGCTTGATGCGGTGCTGTGCTGTCTGCCCAACCATCGATGGGCAACAGAACACCGCCCAGGTGGCGTCGTGTTTTCGGAGAGCCGCAGGTGGCGTCGCACGACAGCGACACGTACGACGTTGCATAGAGCTTGACGAAAAACCAGCGACTTCTGACGCGAACCGTCGTTCGAACCGTCAAGCTTGACGAAAAAACTAGCGACTTCTTTTGACGCCACGCTCATACACACATCTGATGGTACTCACACTTGTACAAGAAATAAAGTAAACGTCATAAAACAGTTTTGGTTCATAAAATGCTACTATGGTATAGTAAATTTAAAATTTTACTATCATGTGGATTGCAATAAATAATGAAAATTTTAAACGCCTGCCATGACATGCTATGCACCAAGCCACCATGTGATGCTTCCCTGTGCCACCTAGTAAATCACACATAGTGTGGCATGGAGACCTTACGAAAAGTGTGGCACAATGACGAGACAACAGTGTAGCCTGGCAATGGTGAGACTAACAGCAGCTTCATGTAGTTGATGGCAGCACCAACGGCAGCATCCGCATGCTCCACTGGCATGCTGCCATGTGGCAGCCTTGTTCCCGCTCTCCTGGCCAAACCCTGGGCCCGCTCTGGCTGGGTCAGGCTGGCTGTCAGCTTCTGCCGCAGTTGCGCCTCCGACCACTGCCTGCCCCAGCAGGACAGAGCCGCGCACAAAGAGGCGCCCACACAGACCCACCCAGAGCTGCCCAGCCAGAGGCGCCCAGACAGAGGCGCCCAGACAGAGGCGCCAAGACAGTGCGCCTACACGGAGCCGCCCACACAGAGCCGGCAAATACGAGGCACATGGTGGAGCATGGTGTCGATAAGCATACCACCGAGTCTGCTTCTGGTCTCTGCAGGGAGGGAGGCAGGGTGTGGCAGGGAACATGGCGGTCGTCAGCAGGATGGCTCAGTGCACCTCAGCTCGCGGCAGGACGAGCAGACAGCAGTAGAGAGAGCAGCAGGAAACACCAGAAAGTGCAAAATAGCTTCTGGCTTACCGTGACAGGAGCAGACTGGGCGAGGCAGGAGGTGTGGAGGATGGCCCAGTGCACCTCAGCTCGCAGCAGGGCGAGCACGGCCAGCACCAGTTGCAGCATGGGCGGCAGCAGCAAGGGCTCGTCCGCCAGCCTCAGCAGCAGGCGCCTGCCCTCGTGGCCCAGCAGAAAGCGCCTCCTCCTGTGCGCGTCTGCCATTCGTTGCAGACACGCGTGCATACCTGTGCCACTGACTAGGTCCCTGTTGGTCAGGGGAACGAGGGAGGAAGCACAGGGAGGTTGGCGCCATCACACAGAATCTACCAGGCCTTTTTTGGTCGGGGGAAGTGTAGTGTAGGAAGGTAGGGTGCCATTCGCTGCAATCATGTGTGCATGCCAGTGCCACTGACTAGGTCGCTGGTAGTCAAGGGGGACGGGTGAGAGAGGGAGAGAAGAAACAAACACGGACGGGCTGGGCCATCAGACAGCAACGCTAAGTGAGTGCTAAGGAGGGGGCCGAAAATTAGGAGGAAGGGATGCAGTGTACATGCATACATTGCAGTTACATCGTATGCAGACCCAATTGGTAAACCGTACTTATCACAAGTTGGCACAACTCACCTCACCCAACCAATCGTTGGCGCTGATACTCCTCCTCTGCTCCCTGTGCTCTGTGCCTCGCTGCTGCCTTGTCCGGCTTCTCCCCCTCCCCCATGCGCCCCACCGCCCACTGCTGCACCTCTGCATGCAACCACAGCACCTCGACTCCGAACAGAGGTACGATAGCCCTCGTGTGGAGAAGGGTCTCTAACGGATGGGGGGAGGGACAGGAGAAGAAAGGTATACAGAGGAGAAGGTGATTGCGCTTGCTTTTCCCCCTTCCCCGTCTGCGCCCCCCCCCCCCCCCGCAACTGCTGCGCCTCTGCATGCACACACAGCACCTCGTTCTAAAGAGAGGGAGTATGGCGCGCGAGCGAAGCAGGGTCTGCAGTCGAAAACGGGGCAAGGGAATGAACTAGTAAAAGGGAGGTGAGAGATCATCTCTTCCCTATCTGTGCCCCCAACACCCACTGTTGCTCGTCGGCATGCGCGGCACAGCACACACTCGTTGCATCTCATCTCAGCTCATTTCATCTCGTCGCATCTCACCTTGATTAGAGCAGCAGCATCGCGCGTGCCTTTGACCATCTCCACAGGGCATGTGAGCAGGGCGAATAGCGCCCACTCACTGCATGCTTCCATGCTCACCAACTCCTTGCTTTAATGAAATGAAAGGGGTGGGGGTGCAGATGGTGGGGTGGTGGGGGTGAGTGGGTACGGAGAATGTCATCATGACCACAGGGCAGGTGAGCAGGGCAAATAGCGCCCACTCGCTGTATGCTTCCATGCTCACCAGCTCCTCGCTCTGAAAGGGGGAGCGTATGGATGGGGGTGGCAGGCCGCAAGTGGTGGGTGTGGCTGGTGGGTTCGTGAGGAAATTAGCATTTCACAATCTCCACAGGGCACTCAAGCCTGGTAGATCCTGTGAGCGCCCACTCACTGTACGCCTCCACGCTCACCAGCTCCTCGCTCTGAGGGGGAGGGTAAGGGTGGGTTGCATTGTTGGTGGGGGTACACAGGGGCGGTGGGGGTACAGGAGTGGCGTGGGGAGGGAGTGCAGGGGCGGTGGGGGTACAGGAGTGGCGTGGGGAGGGAGTGCAGGGGCGGTGGGGGTACAGGAGTGGCGTGGGGAGGGAGTGCAGGGGCGGTGGGGGTACAGGAGTGGCGTGGGGAGGGAGTGCAGGGGCGGTGGGGGTACAGGAGTGGCGTGGGGAGGGAGTGCAGGGGCGGTGGGGGTACAGGAGTGGCGTGGGGAGGGAGTGCAGGGGCGGTGGGGGTACAGGAGTGGCGTGGGGAGGGAGTGCAGGGGCGGTGGGGGTGGGTACAGGGTAGGGTTGGGTAAAGAGCGCACACTCACTGTACGCCGCCTCCATCCTCACCAGCTCCTCGCTCTGACGGGGATGGGCGGGGAGGAGCAGAGAGGGATGGCAGGTGGTGGGTGGGTGGTGGACACAGCACAGGGGACCGACCATGAGTCCAGAGCAGGGGAGCGGATGGCACATCAGGCCATGAAGCAAAGGGCTTCACAAACACGATGAGGAACTGAAGACGCCTAGAGCACATATGACCGCCATGAGGTTCCACGGCATTGTTGTTTGAAGCGCCTGAATCAAATGTGACTCACCATGAGGTCCCAGGGCGGGGGAGCAGCCTAAAATCCCAGTGTATGGGACCATGCCAGGTCGGAAAGTATGGGATGGGATGGTTGCATGTAAGGGCAACGTGGGATGAAGGACGGTGGAACGGCATCGCATGCATGAAAATTCCTGCAGGGGCAATGGCATTTTATGCAGAGGAAATGGAAAGCCACTCACTTAAAGCTCAGCAGTCGCACCACCTCCACCCGTGCCATCTTCTACACCTGTAGAGACTACGATGGAGTGGTAGCATAAGGGAAGGAGGAAGTGGCACTGTGTGTGGGGGCAGTCACTCACTTGAAGCTGAGCGTCCACTCTTGAACACCTCCTTCTCCTCCTCCTCCTCGCTCTCCTGCTCTGCACCTTCCCGGAAGGTGACACTTGAGTCACCCACTGCATCCTCCTTAGGCCTTCCTGGCCCTTGGATTCCGCGCTGCGCAGCTGCACCCTCGCGCTGCTGCAGTCCCCCTCCTCGCTGTCCCCATTCCCTCCCTCTCTGCCCAATCACCTCCGATCCCCCTCCGCCCTTGACTCCTCTGCTCCCCTCTCCCCTTTCATTTCGCTCCTGTGAGATGGCGGAATGTGCAGCGGAACGAGGAGGCGAACGGGGAGCATTTACTCTCTGTTCCTTCTGTCCCCACTCTCCCTCACTTCCCGCGCCAGATTCGTCGTCTGCACGCCCGTTCCTTCTCTCACAATCGTTACTATCACCTCCAAATGCCCCCGTCACTCATCTCCAGTCCGCCTGATGCGGGATCAAATCGCTCTGTTCGCCTTCGACCCGACCACACTCCCTCCTTGCGCGACGAGAGCCCGCGAGGAATGACGGTCGCGATTCCGTGCTCCAAGTTCTCCTCATCCCCCACCGTCGATTTGAATCCCGCCTGCATCTGCCACCGGCGCTGCTGCTGTTGCCATTCCCAAGTCGCTCGCTCTTGCCGTGGACAGTCGTGGCTCGTGTCGCGATCGCTGGATCGGGCGACTCTTGCTGTACCGTCAGATGTCGCATGCGATAAAATTCTTTCAAGAACGGCGCGTGCTCTGTCGTACAGAACTGTCCAGCTCACGCCTGCGTGCCGATTTCACGAGACGAGAACCAGGGAGGAGCTTCCTTTCCTAGTATCTAGGAATCGCCAGCTGCACGAGCTTGCTACGATCACACTGTGCCAGCGTGACGGATGCTTCGAGATCATTCCACATGCCCCTGAACGATGACAATGAACTTCTTAGGACGGTATGATTAAACTAGACAGGTCTCCGATTTTGTCGTACGTCGTACCTTCAAGGTTAGGGAAATGTCCTGTCGGGGTAATAGAAGGACATCCTACCGCATTGTTCGCACCATGGGCTCACACACGCAGAAAGAACTTGTGGAGATTTGAAGTGGAGTTCCCCTGATGTGCACGAGTCATGGCTAATGAGCTTAGTCACGTCAGGACACTGTTTTGTGTCTTCTTTGGAGGGGCGTGTTTGTTTTGTACATAGACTCCAAGGCTGATTTGTCAGCCTTTTCCCCAAAAAACTTGGTGATTTTCTAGTGGGTTTTAAAGGAAATATGGCATTTTTGGCTGATTTTCAGCGTAAATCTGTGAGTGAACTCTGATTTTCCAGCCTACCCCAAAACCAATCTAGGGGCCTGCCCAGGGGAGATTATATCTGGTCCGGTGGGAGACAATATAAATATAGTTTGATTTTTTTTTTTTCATTGATAATGCATCTTATACGGTATTGTCAGTTACATCTTTTTCAGTTTTAAATGAAAGAAAAACGGAAAACGCAGCCTCAAGAACACCCCAGTAGAACAGCACATAAGGAACCCCAAAAGACACCCCAACGAGATACCCCCAACGAGACACCCCAACGAGACACCCCAACGAGACACCCCAACAATACGCCCCATCTAACCAAACCCCCCACCCCCCTCACCTAAACCCACCCTCTAAACCCGCATGTCCACCAAATAGGGCGCATCCGCCCACGGAGCATCCCATCCCATCTCCTCCTCAAAATCCGCCCGCTCCACCGAAACAGCCTCTGGGCCTCTCATCATCGACGCCGCGCGCAACAAGATCACACGCGCCTGAGCCCGCTGCAAAGCCACACCTATGGCCGCTTTAAGTGATCCAAGCAAGTAAGCCGAGAAACCTTTCCCCGTAGCTCTCGCCGCCCCTTTCGTCTTCGCTACCTCAATCTGCGCGTCGCCCTGTTTCTTAAGCCACCGCCCAAAACTCCCCCCCAGGCAACCCCATGTCTCAGCAATGAGAGGTGTAAACTGCACTCCCCTATGTCGCTGCAGAAGCAATTTGTAGTCCGCCGCCTTCCGCTTTTCCCTCTCTCTAGCGGCAAAACCCACCTTGCGACCAATCTGTCCATGGTGCTGCGCGGACAACGAGATAGGGTCCACCACACTAACCTCCAGCGCATGCTCCTCCCCCTCCCTCAGTCTCCGCACCGCCACATCCACCCTCTTCCCTGGCAGCAACGTGTCGTCTTCCATGGTCACGACCCCACCCGCCCCTTTAGCTATCTTCGCCACCACAAACTTAACCGCGTCGTGAACACGAGAAGGTGCGTACTGGTACTTGCAGCGAAGGGCATGATGCGGGTCAGAGGGATCAGCAAACTCAAACCCACACGCGCACTTGCCGGCGACTATCAGCTGCTGTATGGGGAGGCCTAGGCGCATGGACGCACAGATGCTCCACTCGGCTGCGGTGAAGGTAGCCTCTTCGTGCGAAGGGACGGCGGAGACCCACGCCCCTGCCCCCGGGCCCTGAAGGGATGTCAAACGGGCCATGGTGGCGTCGTCGTGGGCCATACCCCGAAGAGTCTGCAGACTCTCAACCGCTAGGCGACGGTGTTGTGTGGGGAAAAGCAGCACAGGGGGGTCAGCGGTGCATAAGGCTAGGGGTGGCATCTCCTGCCTGACCGACTGTGGCAGCAGCTCCACTGCTCTCGCAAACCAAGGATCCAGCAAGGTCGTAGCCTCGGGCGTGCGGAAAAACTCGGTCGTAGCCTCGGGCGTAGCAAGGTCATAGTTTGATCCTAATGGGTTGAGAGCTCAAGCCCTTGCATAGACTCACGGAATCAACTCAATTTCCCGTCGACGTTGTAACGATCGTCAAAATGTTTGAGCTTCGTGTGCCACAAACGGGAACACATTGGCGCATATAGACGAGCTGCATTGGCGCAAATTGGCCGATGTGCGACACTCGCAAATCTCACAGCTTCGCGAACTCCTAGGCAGCCTGTTGGACATGACAGGTCAGCCCTTCGTAACTTCCAAGGGGGTCCATGACTCTGACTCTGTCGCAAACAACCGCAAGGAAGGAGCATAGCTTCAACCGACTATGACGCAACCGCGAGGAGGTTCAACCGAGACTAGCCGCAACCGCAAGGGTAAGTTCCACCGACAGTATGACGCAACCGCCACGAAAATAGGTTCAACAAACCGTATGATGCAACCGCAGGGAGCATAGGTTGAGGCCACCATATAACTCATGGAGCTTCGGTTCATTCGACAGCTTCGGTTCATCGACCGCATGCAACACCTCTCTTTAGTCTGAATGTCTCATCTTTCTGTAGTCTATCGAAACAGGAACTTCGGTCTCATCGACCGCATGTCACATCTCCCAGGATAGGAGACTCGCCCCCCCCGACCTCTTTGGAGGGGTAATGCGGCCCAACTGAGCGCCCCTTACTACCGGTACGTCATTATCACACTCTTATGTATTTCAGCTCAGGCTGCTTTTATGTGTTACTTGGATAAGTAGTTTGATTTACACGTGAAACATGATTTCGCTAAACTGTTAGATCTAAAGCTCGTGCGACGTTTGCATTTTGTGAGGTCGAAAGGAATGCAGTCGCGCCACGTTATATTTGAATCAGCCACTGGCGCTTCGTGGGGATGATGTGTAGTGGCAAACATCTCGAGAAAGAGCAGCACCCGAAATGTGTTTGTTCGAGTGTTTTTCTAGCAAGGGATGCTTGCCACTGCACAACGTCCTCCACGAATCGCCAATGGCTGATTCAGATATAGCGTGGTGTAACCACACTCCCTATCGACCTCGCAAAATCCAAATGTCGCATAATCTTTAGACTCTACAGTTAAGCAAAATCATGCCTCACATGTACATCAACCCATAATCTAGGTCATGATGGGTCAATGAGTCGCACTCTGCTTTCCAATTGCTGCTGAGTTGCACTGTGCTTCTTGCTGCTGCCGGTGAGTTGCTTTTTGTTTTTGCTGCTCAGTTGGACCGTGCTTTCCGCTGCTGCCGATACGTTGTTTGATTCTTTCTGTTGCTGCTATTATTGATGGGGAGATATGGGCGAGAGGTCATCACCAAATCCAGCTTGTTGCATCGTCTTACCGTGCTTACATCTCTCCCCATCCCCTTCGCTTGTCACAGGGCGAAAGGAGAGGGGAGCTGGCATGTGGAGTGTGTGTGCGTGAGCGTGTGGGCGTTCCTAACGAAGGCGACAGAACGGATCAGCCGGCCACACGTGGTGACGCACTCACCATCCACCATCCTTCTGCTGCACCTGTATTCATTGCCTTGTTATGTAACCGTGTTTCCAGGTTTATCTACCCACTTTCCCCCCCCTTCCGCCTGCTTGTATAACCTTCCACTGTGTAGTCCTAACCCCTACTGCCCCCTCAATACTGCATGTGCTGTCTGCTTTTTTCTGTGCATCCTTTCGCCTCTTTTTCAGCATTGCATCCTTTCGCCTCCTTGCGTTGCATCCTTTCGCCTCGTTTTCTGCGTTGCATCCTTTCGCCTCGTTTTCTGCGCTGCATCCTTTCGCCTCGTTTTCTGCGTTGCATCATGTCGCCTCGTTTTCTTCATTGCATCCTTTCCCTGTGTTCTGCGTTGCGTCTTTCCAGCTTGTGAGTGTCACAATGTCCTTCCACAGACATGCTGCAACGTGCCGCAAGTGTCGTACATTTAGAGAGCAGCAGCAGCCCACCATCCGCTGAAGCACGAGTTTGCAGCAGCACCAGCTGAGTGCCTGCAACTGCAATGGCAGCATAACAGGCCCGAGCTTGCCACTAGGATGGTGAGTCGTATGGGTCTGTTGAAGGCCCGGCTGGGTCGTAAGACTTTGGGCGGGCACGTTTGGACTGTGGTTGGGAAGGTTTGCTAACTTGGACTCTGAGGGAGTAGCTTTTGACTTTGGGGGCTCCTCCTTGGGTGGGTGATTGAGGGAATGGGGCTGGAACCCTTTGGGTGGGTGATTGAGGGGAAAAATGGCAGAAACCCCTTGGGTGTACTGTGTGGCATGTTGTGTGTGGCATGATGCTGTGTGCCATGCTGCTGTGTGATATCTCTGTACGATGGTGTTTGATGTATTTGCAGGTCTCAGGAGGGCATGCTGTGGCATGTCATGGTATGGCATTGCAGAGTGGGAAACGCCATTCCATTGTTTTGTCTGTGCCATGTTAGCATGGGATCAAACGGTTTGGCATGTCGTGCTGTGGCATGGGATGGAGTGGCATCCCCTATTGTTTGGTGCCATGGCCTCGGCATGTGATGATGTGGCATGGATGGTGTGGTATGGCATGGTGTGTCATGATGTGGCATTGCATGGTGGTGTCTCATAATGTGGCATGGTGTGACAGGCTGGCAAGCGCTGGAGGCAAGTGGAGCTGATAAACGAAGAGCTGTTTGGCAAGCTTTCAAATGGAGGAAAATCAGTTCTAGAGAGCTGGAAAATCTGAGTAGGGAAAATAGCAAGATCTTATCATTTGATCCTTGCTGTCTGATTTTGTCAGGATCAGCGTCTGCACTGGATGGATTTTGTAACGCTAGTATACTTGTACTACAAATCTTTAATTTGATAGCTGCGTTCAACAAGTACACATGCATGTGATGTGATTGCATAAGTGTGTGCACAAATGGGTGCTACTTCGTGCACAGATCATACATGCTACTAGTGCTACTGCTGCTATGGTATTGCTGATGCGGTTGCTTCTCTCCATGGCCTGTGAAAAGTAGAAGGGGACGCAGGGAGTATGGGACGTCAGTGGTAAGGACTGGACGTCAGTGGCGAGGACTGGACGTCAGTGGCGTAGTGCTACAAAGAGGGATTATACTAGAAGTGGGGAAGGCTGAAGCTGGGTAGGAAACAACGGGCGGGAGAGAGCAGAGGAACAAGGAAAACCCAGCTGATATTAAGCAGGAACATGACTCAGAATACCAGCGATCAGCATAGATTTGCAGGGAGAAGCAGGGAGTAACATAGGGTAGCAGAGAGCAGCAGAGAGGGGCACTGGGTGTGGGAAGGAGTAACCTGGAAACAGAGGGTAACCAGCAAAAAGGACATGGCACAACATGGCTAGGATGGGAAATAACACTTACCCTGTTCGTTATTAAGCAAACATTTCATTCTCCCTTCTATCCTTACCAGTTTCTCCCTTTCCATCAGTCCCTACTTCCCAGCTTCCTTCTTTCCTCCTTCTCCTTGCCTCCTCCCCTCCTTCCCTGTAGTGGTACTATATGCAGGCTGATGCTGTTACTACGACCATGCCTGTTGCGTGATGGGAAGGAGAAAGGGACAAAAGGGGAGCGAAGAGGTTATGTTGAGAGGGTAACGTTCTCGGAATCTTAAGCAAGGCAAGAGCAATGGCGGAAAGCACGGAAGTAGAAGATTTTAAGGGCATATACGATGGCAAAAATGAAATGCACGAGGGAAGGGCAAACGAAATGATATGCTTTTAGCCCAAATCATTCCTGAGGGGTTTCCTGAGGGCGCACCTGAGAGGGTACCTGAACTGTTACCTCAGGGGTTACCTGAGGGCGTACCTGAGAGGATACCTGAACTGTTACCTGAGGGGACACCTGAGCTGAGGGGATACGCATGTATGTGTGTGCATGCACGCATCTGTGCATGCATGCATGAACGCATGTGTGCGGATGTGGTCCTGGGGATACACATGCTCGCATGCATGTATGCATGGAAGAAGATACGCTCACCCATACGAGTGCCTGTACTCCCCTCTGAGTGATGCTGAGCACCCCTGCCACTGCCGTTCGCCCCTCCGCCATCCTCCTTCCGCCCTTCTCCTGTCCTGCCGCTGCTCCGGAGGTGTTGGTCCTCGCAGCAGCGAAGCGCATGTAACCATGTGTGCATGCATGAACGCATGTGTGCGGGTGTGCTCATGGGAGTGCACATGCCGAATTCATGTATGCATGGAAGAAGATACGATTACCCATACGAGTACCTGTACTCCCCTCTGAGTGACGCTGAGCACCCATGCCACTGCCGTTTCCCCCTCTGCCATCCTCCTTCCGCCCTTCACTCACCCGACTATTCTCCGCCCTTCTCCCGTCCTCCCGTCGATCCTGCGGTGTTGACCCTCGCAGCGAAGCGCACACAAGACAGGAGCAATCACACAGAAGGGTGCGTCAGAAGCATCAGAGGAAACGGACCGAGAAAGAAATTCACTTGAAGTCTGAGACTTGCCGCACGCCCCCCCCCCCCATTGACTCTTCCGGCCAAATGACTTACCACACTGCGCACGGCGCACAGCACCTCTGGGGAAAAAACGCGTTTGACTATTTAGAAGGGTTCGCCTACTAACGAGCGGGAGACCCGGTGGCGTACTAACGAGGGTTCGACAGTTGCACGGTGTTCGCCCGTGATGAAGGTGATATGTAGGCTCCTACAATATTTATTGCTGTTTTACGTTGATGTAGAATTTTGGAAGCTACTTTTGCTGAAATTTTACTTGTACGTTATACATGAATGGAGCGCCTCCTGTGACTTCGACCCTCTCAACCCTGCTTGCGCTGTAGCCCATCAGCTCTTATGAGACCTATGGGAGTGCAGATAAATCTTGCCGCTGGTGCAGCAAATATGGTGGCATCACAGCATCACTCTTGTCCAGTTCAGAGAATCAAGCAGCGCTTTCCCAATCACAGCGCTCCTCCTGGCGGATCCTACTTACCGCATTTCGCTGTCACGCTGTCACCCTGGCTTTGTCGCTGATCCACGCCTTCGTCTCTCGTCCACCTGTCCTTTCCAGCTTGGACGGTACGTTGTTTGACCTTCCCCAGGGTCCTCCTTGTTCTCAGATGCTTCCGCTCAGTCCATCCTGGCGGTGCTGAGACTCACAGGTCCTCCTGTGGCATGCTGCCACGTGGCTGCCCTGTTCCCGCTCTCCTGGCCAGACCCCGGGCCCGCTCTGGCTGGGTCAAGTTGGCTGCCAGCTTCTGCCGCAGCTGCGCCTCCGACCACTGCCTGCCCCACCCGCACAGAGCCGCCCAAACAGAGCCGCCCAGACAAGGGAACAAGTGTAAAGGTCATGGCAGCTTGCCAGCTTCAAAATTACAGGATGGGAGGAAAAAATGTTGCATGTAAAGGTCACGCTGGCGTGCAAAGGAAGGTGGGGATAGCATTGAATGCATTGGAAAAAGCATCATGCAGGGCCAATGGCATGGCACGCAGGGGGAATGGGATGCCACTCACCTGGAACTGAGCAGCCGCACCGCCGCCATCATGTACACACATGGAGACCATGAGCGAATGAGAGCTTGCATGCAGGCGGAAGTGGCCCTGCATGCATGGGCATGCAATGTCACTAATCACTTAAAGCAGAGCAGTCGCTCGCACCGCCTCCACCCGTGCCAACATGAACACGTCACACCTCCTCCTCCTCCTCGTCGCTCTCCTGCTCTGCACATTCCTGAAAAGCGATGCTTGAGTTGCCTGCTGCATCCTCGGATGGCCTTCGAGGCCCTTGAATCCCACGATGAGCTGCCATTCCCACGAGGAGTCCTCGTTGTCCCCAATTCTCTCCACGCTACCCAATCACCTCCGATCCCCTTCCGCCCTTCACTACTCTGCTCCCCTCCCCCCTTTCGTTTCGCTTACGTGAACCGGCGGAATGAGCAGCGGAAATCTGCAGCGGAACTTGCAGCGGAACGGGCAGCGGTACGAGCAGCGGTACGAGCAGCGGAACCAGCAGCGGAACGAGCAGCGGAACGAGTAGCGGAACGGGGAAGCGAACGTGGAAATTCCTCCCCCCAATCCTTCTGTTTCCACCCGCCCTCTCTTCAAAAGCCTCCCCGTCACTCATCTCCAGTCCGCCTGATGCGGGATCAAACCGCACTGCGCGATTTCGACCTGACTGCACTCCACGCCTGCGCGACGGGAGCTCGCGCGGAATATCAGTTGCAGTCCAAATTCGAATAATCATCCGCCGTCATTTCGAATCCCGCTCGCCTTTGCCATTTCCAAGACTCGTGCTCTTGCCGTGTACTCCCGTGGCTCGAGTCGCGATCGCTGGATCGTGCGACTATTCTTTTGTCGTTAGATGTCGCTATTCGAATTTTGCCAGAAGAAGTAAATATTAGTCCTGTCTTTGCGAAGCCTCTCGTGCGAGCCGCGCGTGCACTACACTTGGCATGTGTCGATATCCAGCGGATTACGAGTTGTTAGATCGAGGCCTGTTTGTCTAGTAACGAGGGTCGTTGTTATCGATCATGAAATGTACATGTAAGGAAAGTGACGCGAAGTTGTTAGACGCAAACAGGTTGGGTTCGAAAGCGAACATTATGGGTGTACCAACCAATCCACGTGTGGCCCAGAACTTCGTCTGGACAAAGATGCTCCACGTCAATGACTCTCACTCAACCGAACGTAAGCGAACCTCACTTCATATTGTTCGAACCAATCACTGCAGCCCATAAAATCAGAATCTACGTACACCAGCCTCCCTTATCTATCCACTCACACATCAGCACATGGTGCCTCAAACCACTCTCAACCCCTCACCCTCACCCCCCTCCACCCACCCCCCACCCCGCCGTACAAATGCTCTGCCACCCAGTTCCTTCCAAGTCATACTCCTCGATCCTCTGAACGCTCTATTTCCAGATGTATCTGGCCCCCTCACGCGCTCTATGTACCTCTTTCCAGGCGCTCCGTTTTTTAACATTTCGCCGTCGCCAATAACTTGCAATCAGCTACCAATATCTGAAGCCTGCTTGCGCTCCCGGTCCCTACACTTCGGGTCCTTTCTGATCTTACGTATTGTAACCTACTCGCGAAGGCATATCTACGAATTTACTCCCCTCCGACTTCCACCCTGCCCTCCCAACCTCCCACCCCTGTAGTTAATGTCCACATCACCGTGACTAACCTCCGCACGCCTAGCGATGGGAAGCTGTCGCTGGGGCAGTCGCTTTGACAACAGATCATTTCATGAGGATATCTCGTAGTACGCGAGGCTCATAGAGCTGGGCAGCCAAGTGTTTATGCATTTTGCCTTACTGAAGCTACTTAAAGCTGCAGTATACATTTGTCAGCCGGGTTTAGGGTTTATATTGTGTGCCTCACAGCTTTGAGGCAACTTTTCAAATCTCAAAAGTTTTTGAACCCAACCTTTCAAATGTATACTGCAGCTTTAAAAAGACTTCAATTCTGAATGCAGTTGCGATCTCGCTATATTATTATGTTTTGCTAATTTTCGTGCGAATCGCAGGTGGGGAAATGTGCGACGACGGAGTGCTGCGAGGTCGGGTTGCTGGACTGGCCGCTTTGTTCGTTCCGCGGTGAAGTTTCAGTAGCGTTGCACCTATCACTTGCTGCTGCCAACCGTGTATCTCCTTGGGCTTCAGTACGTGAGCATACGGAGCTGACACGCTGTTGTGCCATCGCCCGATTTGCTCCGGGTTTTTTTTATCGGTTCATGAGTTTTTCACGACTCCAGATATTTTGCCTTCGTATTGATCGCAGGTTCCACCACGTTCGGGGTTTTGTATGCAGGAACCATCACGTTCCGCGATCTAAACTGCATAGTTTCAGACTCCCAAGTTCCGTCTAACCATATCTGGTCGGATTAGTTACTAACCAGGCTTTAATTACGAGTTGGTTAGCAATCTGTTGCTGGGGACCTGCGGCAGTGTTGCTCTGCCAATATATGTCCACACGACGCCCAACCCCTGCGTTCGAATTGACCTGCGCGCGACAGAAAGTCTGCACGCCTTAATTTGGGGCCAGCCAGTTGCACCCAGCTTATAAGCACCTCGATCAGTTGCAGTGATAATGAACTACAGATGATGCTCGTTTGGCGCACCCAACTTTGCCTTGTTCTCTGGCTTTTAACTGGTTTTTGCATTTCGCTAAGGTTTCGTCAATTCGCACCTAACAAAATAAGCTTATAAAAAGTCAATGCAGTTTAGGATAACCAATGGTACCGAAAGACCGACGTCAACTGTCAGCGTGTAACATTTGAGAAATTTGTAAGCACAGTTTTGCTAGCTGCGACGTTGACGAAGCTGGCGAACTGTACGGAACCTTGGGTTAGTCAAACAAGTATCATGTGTCCTGTACTTTTGAATGACCAAGCATTCCAAATTTCAACGTGAGCAATTCGACACTACGTTTCGTGTGCCATATGCGAACGCTATTCAGAATCGCAGCCAATGGAATTACGCCTAGGCACACCCGTAACTGGCGTAACTGGCAGTAGTCTTTTGTTTAGATTGATTGGTTGCAAGCGTCACATAACCACGTCACCATTGACTCACTAGGTTTGAACCTGAGTAAGCACGTCACATCAATCGACATTGACCACACTGATTCACACGCAATTCAACACAGTTCACCCGCCCGATTCACCCACCCCTTACGGGACATTGACCACACCGATTCACCCGCCCAATTCACCTGCCCGATTCACCCCACCCCTTACGGGACTTGTTGGCTGGCGACTCCACTTGGATGACCCTCGTATCTCCCAGCGCGCGATTCACCCGCCCGATTCACCCGCCCCTTGAGGGACGTATTGGCAACGCCACTAACCACATATGGCGACTTTACTTGGATGACCCTCGTATCTCCCAGCGCGCGATTCACCCGCCCGATTCACCCGCCCCTTGAGGGACTTGTTGGCAACGCCACTCACCCACATGCAAGAAAAGCCCGCTTGCTGATTCACGAAACGTGAACGCAGGTCTGTTCAGTTCAAGCACCAAATGTGACTTAAAAGTCTAACCTCACATAGCATAGACAAGGGAGGTCTTGATCCAGAAACTCAGATACGAGAGCCCACGCGCCCACCCATCCTCAGCATTCTCGTCACGTGTGCATTCTCGTCCCGCCTTTGGCAATGTAAGAGCTCTCTAAGCGATCAAAGTTTTTTTAGGACGCCGCGACGTAGGGGGATCGTTTTGTGACGAACAAGAAATCGTTAGAACTCGCAAGCGGCCTGCCCGTTTTCGAGTAGCGCCTCCAGGGCATTAGCACCCTGCGTTGAAGTCGAATTTAGCCAGCGCGATCATAAACAACTATCTTCTTGTCGGCTGAAGAATGGCGACATCTTCAATGGTATGTGTTGTCATGTTCAATCAACCATAGTTTATGGTAAAAAATGTGTTTGTACCTTTTCGATCTTCCTTTGTCATTGCCTCTTTTCATCTCTTGCAATCACCATCTAATCATTACCTTTGGCAGGTTTTGGATGTCCGTGCTCAGTTTGAGACATATGTGCAAGCATGGTTCAAGGAGAATGACGTTGAAGTGCGAGCACAGGCATTATCTTCGATCTTGAAGATGATGAGGGAACGATGCTTGCCGGATCCATATGATTTGGTGTTAAGAATGATTCGATCTTTCGAAGGTGATGAGCACATGCTGAAAGGATGCATGCTGCTATCCTTTTGTCTCACCGCTTCTCCTTCGGATTTTTCCCCCATAAGACAAATTCTCCAAGAAATATTCCATTCCACGAGCAACGATAAGTTGAAGAAAGATTCGCGCACGGTGTGGGAAGTGTTGATGAGAGTGGATATGTGCGGCGGCCGAGATTTTTTACCTTCAGCAGCCGAAGTTAAAAAGTCAGTTTCGGAGGATCCACAGAATGTGACGGTTCACCTCCTCGATGGAACTCAACAATCCCTACGCTACCATTTCTACTCGACGTTTGATGATCTAAGATCTGTAAGTTGAACAAGCTTAATTTGTCATATGTAACAAGCTTCATCACTACGTTCCAAGGAGACAACGACCATAACTTCATGTTGTTTTATACATCTACTTGATTTTTTATACTTCATTTGCCCCTTTTCTATGTTCGTTGCCCTTCCTTATTACCTAACACCAAACAGGCTGTGGCGGAACGTATAGATCTACAGAATCATGCAACGTTTGGCTTCTGTGAAATGGAGGGAAATGTGGATGCGCCGCAGTACAGTTGGATAAGCAACTGGCGGTATGTTGCGGACCTTGTGCAAAGTCAGTAATTTCGAGCGAAGAAGGCGCCTGGAAATTCTTTCATAATTGTGTTCAGCAAAAAAGAGTTTCCCAAGGGTGAAAAAATCTACGGCAAAAGCTTCATCGAGTACGCATATTTGCAGGTAGGTCTTTTGCTGTTACTTCTTTTTTGCTTATGGATCAACATCATGCACCTGTAATAACTCTTCCTTGGTTATTCCTTTTTTGCAGGCTCAACGCCAGTACCTCAAATCTGGAGAGTATGTTCCGGTCGAATTGATTCGGAAATTGGCTGGTTTGCAACTTCTTGCGCACTTTGGTGTGATGATGCCAAGTGTTGAGGAATGTTTGAGGGAAGTGATCAACTTTGTGCCATCAATTCATCGAAACACCAGGAAGTGGAGCGAAGATCCGATTATCCAATACGAATGCACAGTAAGTACCATGATTTCTTCTCTTTGTCTTCCCTTCCTTTCAGAGCTTAACCATATACATGTATGCACGAAAAACGCAGGATGTATTCTTGGCTGAAGATGCAAAAACACAATTCTTGGAGGAAGTGAAGGACTTGTTGTGGAGCCTAGTCACAATCTTCCGTGTCAATCTTGTGGCTCAGTCCACTGAGATGATTTCAGTGGCCATGGGTCTTGTGCTGGCTATTAACAAGAAATATGTGAGTGCCTCAATATATGCATCTTCATTATGCGTACACTTTGTACTGACAACATTCCTCTTGTCAGATTTTTATTCTTGAAGAGGATCCGTCAGTTCCGATTGATGCTGTTCGAGACAACATTGGCAGCATTCGGATTTCAGACATCTCTCTACTTCATCTTGGGCAGCGCACGTTTTCAATAACAGTAAAGGACGGGAGTACAGAAGATCGTTATCGATTTGAGGATCATGTAAGTCTTTTATTGTAACATTGTTACCCCTAAAACATTCTCTGTTCTGCCCTTACAACAACCCTTTATTGTACCCACAACACCCCTCTCACTTTCCCTATGCACCCTATCTGCTCATTACCCGAGCATCTTCCTCCTTGGACCCTCAACCCCCCCTTCTCTTTGCTCTCTCCGCTCCCCCCATCATCTTCTTCCCTGAACCTTCCGCACCCCTTTCCTTTGCTCTCCCCCATCGTCTTTCTCCCTGGATTTTCAGCATCCCCTTCCATTTGCTCTTCCCTTGGCCCCCATCATCTTCATCCTCGGACCTTCGGCACCCCCTTCTCTTTGCTCATTAATTGTTTCTTGCACGCACACTTCTTGCACACACACTTCCCGCTGTTCTCTTCTCAGCTCCGACAGGGAGCATTCGATAGTCTTCTCATGATCTTGGGAGGCTCTGGCGTGCTTAGTTATGATGCTCGAGAATCGGTACGTTTCAACCGTCAGTAGTTTTGTTTTCTTGCTGCTTTGACAACCACACTCTTGTTATCGGCAGCGCTCATTGGCTTGTTTTCTTATATTGCAGAACGTTCGGAAACTCGAAGAGCGGGTGGAAACATTGTCCACTGTCATAGATGAGCTGACAGACGATAATATTACGCTTCATCTGCGGGTTAGAGATCTTTCGAAGAACATTTGATTGGATATGAGCGTGTGAAGAAGTTGAGATAAAGTTTGTCTGTGCACAAACATTTACATTGAGCAAAGCTTTTTTAGTCATATGTTGAAGTGAATAAAATTAAGTAATAATAAAGCAAAAGTATATACACAGTATAATATTAATAATAATATTAACAATCAATTGTTCGAGTAATAATATTCTTGTCGTATTATAATGGGGTGTACCTTCGCGAGTACAATAGATAGTAGCGGAAATAATCTCGTGATTATTCTTGTGAGCGTATATTGATACCCTCTGAGTGATAATTTGACGAAATGGCCCTGTTAGTGAACATTTACATTACCAAAAAGGTACGAGTCTAGGACCATATTTATAGTATCTCCCCCTTTTAATTCTTGCCTCAAACTTACCTGTACAAAATCTCCTTCTTTGTTGCTATCCTTTACTAAGGGCGTATTTCTGAGTTCGTCTCATCCGCGATTTGTGTCATCCGAAATTGCGGGATGATACGAGTAGTCATGGAGCAGCTTGTGTCAACACACCAAATTTGTTGGCGAGATGTTTTGGAATATTGTACGGAAAATCCATTTTCCTTACTTCGCATCCCTCCTCAACGCGTACATCATGATTCCCGCCAACAGACCCCAACAGTGCACCGTTACCACTCGCGACATTCGCCTCAACAACTGTCCCCGCCACTATTCACGCCCCGACCCAACCCAACGGTTCGGTTGGTTATTCGCGCTCCGGACCTCCGCCTCAACATTTCCCAACCTCGGTGCTAGGCCCGTAGCGCACCCCATTTTCACACATTACCGTTACACCGCTAGCTTTGCTATATATTCTTCGCTCATGCCTTCGCTCAATGTACTGTTTTGCTTCGATAGTGCAATTCTCGCTCGCTCACTCCATTGCACTCGTAACACTTGGTATTCAGAGCCTACGATCTCTTCTCGGACCGCACCCCCACCTTCGCTTTCCCACTATCTCAGTTTTTGGAGGGGGTAAATGCCTCTCAGCGACCAAGCACCGCCGCTCGTAATGCTCTCTCGAAAGCACGCACGACCACGACTGAGGCTCTCACTGAGCTTGCCCGACACCCCCGCCATGGCCGAATTCAGCATCGCAACATTGACACAGGAGCAGCTCGACCGTCTCGTGCGCCAACTTGAAGATTCGACACTCAAAATTACGGCGCTCTCGGCGGAACGCGACTCCGCCCGCCAGCAATCAGCAGCGAACGCACCTGCACCAGCACCGACAACCGCAAATACATCCGCGCAATCGGATGAGCCAATTGTCATTTCATCCGGCACACAGTAACAACACGACAGCGTGGGACAGCGCTCAGGCGCAACCAGTGATGGCGCCGCCCAATCAATGCGTGACATGGGGAGGAACAGGGCTGCACCGACCATGAATGCGCCTCGTGAAGTTCGTCGTCATGTCGAATTCGCAACAACGGTCAGCAACAACGACATCGTTGCAGCGCCCGCCCTACTTCGATCCTAGCCAGGGTGGAGGTCCGACAGTTCAATCGTGGGTCTTCACGACGAATGTCTTGTTCGACGCGAATTACGTCGAGTCGGACGTAGCGAAGATACGATACGCCGTTTCGCTGCTACGGGGCCCCGCCATGGACTGGTGGCGAGTCATCGTGACGTCGCCACGCGCCTACGAGCCGTCGTCACAAGAGGAAGGGCCCATGGGTCCAGCCGTCACATGGAGTTTGTTCTGCGAGACCGCCCAGTACAGCACATGGGATGCGTGGTGTGCGGGGCATCGGGCGCGCTTCGAGCCGATCGCGGCTTCAATTTCGGCGCGTCAGAAAGTGCGTACTGGCGGCAGTTCTGGTCGGTTCAAGACTACACCAGCAGTTTTATCGCTGTGTGTGAGCAAGTTGGCTACATGCACGAGGCGGAGCGGGTGGACCGTTACGTCGGCGGACTGAAGCCGGACATCTCGCACGAGATTGGTTCACAAAACTGACTTTTGGGTTGGGGGGTTGACGAATTTCGTGTACTAGCCACATTTCGGCAACAAAACCACCCCAACTTCGCGACCGTTGTACACTTCAACACATGCGACCAGGCATTCGCACACACATCCAACACTCACCGAGTCTCGATCACAGAGCCACTGCATGGTGCGCCATACACAAAAACACCCACGACCACCTCGACCTAGTCTAGACACAGGACTTGGCATAGGCGGCTTTACAAGTGTAGCGCTGCCAGAACGACTAAGGTGAGCGCGCTACACGAACTAGACCCTATTTTCAAGTTAGCTAATGGTGACGATCGCCCGACAGCCCATCGGTATGCTGTAGTCTTCAACGTCTTTGAAATGAGGCATGGTGAGCCACGAACGGAAATTAGGTCGTCCTCGTCAAGAGGAACCACGGATTGTACCCGTGATGGTTCACCGGGATAATGTCACCAACACGACTAGCGTGATGGCACATACAGGCCCACGCGCCCTCCCTTCCCCCCCTCACGCGCCCTCCCTTCCCGTCGCCCACGCTCCCTCTCTTCCCCCCCGCCCACGCGCCTTCCCTCCCCCTCGCCCACGCTCCCTCCCTCCCCTTCGCCCACGCGCCCTCGACTCTTCCCCTCGCACACTGCCCTCCCTTCGCGTCCCCCACGCGCCCTCCCTTCCCGTCGCTCACGCGCCCTCTCCTCCAACGAGAACGGGGACTTCCCGTGCCTTGCACCTCCCCTTCCTCCAGCCGCGCCTTAGCTCAGGAGTACACAACCAAGGGCGGATCGGTATGAATGATCATGAATGGGGCCAACAGATCCTTCCTTCCCCATCCCGCGCAGGGCCAGTGCCGGTGCTCAAGAGGTTGGGCTCACATCTGGGGGCCGAAAGACAAAATTACGCCAACAACTTCCTTCCCCTATATGATACCACCTTCTCCTCCCACCACCCTGTTTCAGGACCAACTATGTTACCCAGTGGTGACTGCTCAGATTTGGGCCACTAAAGCAAAGGGTTGCGCCATCCCCCGCATTTCGGCCGCGACGGATCCACCATACCACCCCTCACAATCCGTCGTTTCCTCGTCTGTTCCTGCTCATTTCCACTCCCGCTCCTTCCTCACTACTCCCCCTCTTTGTCCCCTCGTTTTGCCCTCTCCCCACCTGCTCCACGCATACCGGCACCCTATGGGCTCATCACGCCGAACACCAGGCGAGACGCAGTGTCACCGAAAACACACCCACATAGCCCACGGAATCCACATTCCTACGCAAGGTGCGTCAGCCTTAAGCTTCCTCCCCCTGCTCTGTCCTTATTACAGGGCCTTACATAGCTCTGTTTTCGCCAGCGCTGCCCTGACTACCGTCAGGCGAATGCCACGCTAGAATCTACCGTTCCCCCGCACAACGCGTACCCACCCCTTCCTCTGCGCCTCCTCTCCCATTCCCCCATGGTTCCACTCCCCGCGCACCCACTCTTCCACACCCCTTCCTCCATGCTAGCACTCCATTTCTCCCACGCTTCCGCTCTCCTTCCCCCACGCTAGCACACCCTTTCTCGCACGCTGCAATCCCCTTCCGCGCACGGTGTCACTCCCATTCCCCCACGGGAATACTCCCCTTCCCCCACGCTTCCACTCCCCATCCCCCACCCTTTCACACCCCTTCCACCGCGGTTTCACTCCCCCTCCCACACGGTTCCACACCCCTTCCACCACAGTCTCACTCCCCCTCCCCCACGGTTCCACACCCCTTCCACCACAGTTTCACTCACCCTCCCCCACGGTTCCACAACCCTTCCACCACGGTTTCACTCCCCCTCCCACACGGTTCCACACCCCTTCCACCACGGTTTCACTCACCCTCCCCCACGGTTCCACCCCCCTTCCACCACGGTTTCACTCCCCCTCCCCCACGGTTCCACACCCCTTCCTCCACGGTTTCACTCCCCCCCCTCCCCTTCCCCCATTCCCTCCCCTGCACGCTGCCATCTCCCCTCCCCCCCCTTCACGCTCGCATTCCCTCCCCTGCACGCTGCCATCTCCTCCCCCTCTTTCTCGCTTCCAATCCCTCCCCATCACGTATCCACTCCCTCCCCCTCACCTTTCCATTCCCTCCCCCTCCCGCTTTCATCCCCTTCCCCTCACGCTTCCATTCCTTCACCCTCACGCTTCCATTCCTTACCCCTCAAGCTTCCATTCCTTCCCCTCACGCTTCATGTCCCTCCTATGCACGCTTTTTTCCTCCCTCCTCCCCTCACGCTTCAGTTCCATCCCCCTCAGCCGTGGCCCCCCCTCCCCTTCCGTTCCCTTTTCGGTTGTGCTCATCCTCCCCCATCCATCCCCGAACCAGTCTCCTTCCCTTCTCGCTTTTCTCTTCCCTTCCCTTCCATACCATTCATAGCCATGCCCTTTCCCCGCTTTCCCACCCCTTCACTCCCCCTCCGTTACTATCCCTTCCTCCTCCATCCTCTGCTTACCTTGCCATTCCCTTCCCATCCTATGATTCCCATTCCCTTCCCTTGCTTCGGGTGCCCTTACCTTCATTATGTCTCCTTCCCTTCCTTTCCCTTCCGTTTCTTCTGCTGCCCTTTCCTATCCTTCGTCTCCTTCCCATCCTTTCCTCTCCCTCCCCTTCCGTTCCCTATGCATCTAGTGTTCATCCACTCCTATCCTTTCCAATCCGTAACCCAATACTTCCTTACATTCAGCCAACCCTTCCACGCCTATCCCTTCCCGGCCCATTCCCTGCTTACCCTGCCATGCCCTCACAACATGTCCGTTCCAGTGCCTTCCCTTGCTTCGAGTTCCCTATCCTTCCCTTTGTCCCCTTCCCTTCCCTTCCCACCCCCACACGCTGCCATTCCCTCCCCCGCTCGTTGCCATTCCCTCCCCCTCATGCCGCTGGGTTTTTTATTCCACACTCCTTAGTTCCCTCATCTCACGCTTCCATTCTCTCCCCCTCATGCATGCATCCCTTCCTTCACTTCCCGGCCCATCCGTAACACCTTTCTTCCGTTCCCCACCCTCTCTTTCCTCTCCCCTTATTTCCCCCACCACTCCCCTACCAATCTCCTGCTTTTGCACCATCCTCCCATTATCCTGAGGCTTACGCATCCCTTCACTTTACACCAAGCCCTATTACCTTTCCTCAATGCACCATACCCTTCCAATCGCACATCCACCCCTTTCTAGACTCCCTACGATTCCTCTCTCTCCCATTTCTTCTTGGCACGAGCTCCTCCATAACATTCTCCAATTCTCTTACCAGGCGCTTATCGCTACCAGTCCATATGTCTCGTAAGGTCCTTGAACCTCCTTGGCTCCCCTTTTCCTATGCACCTCACCCACGATCTCAATCCACCTGCCGCGTGCGTGACCTACCTTGCTCCTTCCCCCGTTTCCATCCTACCTTGCTCCCTGCCTCACATTCCCTCCACCTTTCCCACTCGCCTTAAGCCTCAGCCGTGCTCTTTGAAGTTGGTCGCTTCCGAACTCCGTGCCTCTCTTGCCTGTTCATCTCTGCTTTTCGCTTACTCCCCTCAACAATAAGGCACTCAACACCTTAGCAAGTGGCATTGCTCACGGTATGCGTCCTCCACCACGACGTCGTTTCACACCCAGGTGTGTAGCGTGGACTGACGAATGTCATTGTGTAACCGTCATCTTTGTTTGTTTAACACTGACCACCTGTCCACATCAATTTTGTTGTTGCCTTTCAGTGAACGCCTATGGCAAAAGCGGCGCCGGGGGGGATTGGGCCCGGCTAATGCGTTATGTGAAGATGATGACGAGGGGAGTAATAGGGGGAAAGACATAAGCGGCCACAACGCAGGCCCTAACGAAACGGCTGTGCAAATTATGGCAGGCCAAAGGGCTGCGCAACGAGTCAGGCGCACATACCGACCCACGAGAAAGCCGCCCATTCGGCACGTTTCAACGTTTTGCTGGACTTTGAGTCATTTTGCCACTGCGTTTCGGAAGCAATATGAGGTGCTGGAACAGTGGGGTGCAAACCTCCTAGAGTTACCATACGATAGTCAGGAACATCTCAGCAAGAATGGCCAGACGGTTGAGAACATCATAAGAATTTGCTGTGGGGCCAACACCCCTGAGTCTTGTGAAGGGGAGGCCATTCTGCCTAAACACCATAGGTTTAGGTGTTACCTAGAGCTTTCGGAGCTACTAGGTGACCATCTAGGTGACCAAGTTCGGTTGCCATGGATTGTATATGTGACGATAGGGTCACTATATCCTGAGACCAGCGACGAAGGGTACCTGAACTGTGACACGGAGGAGGTCGCGTGGTTCATCGCTTCCTGGGAGGTTCCGGATGAGATAGACTTCACTGCAAAGACTTTTGCGGGTATTGCATTGGTGCCCCAGTAGTCAACTCTACGATTTCGAGTGATTAAGATTGAGCGGACGGTGGGGAGAGTGGGGGTATACTTCTCGGGCGCATTGGTGGATACACCGGCATCAAATACTTATAGTTCAGCCCAAAGTCATGCTCTACTGTACACCGCTTTTGTTATATTTTGCAACATACGGTTCTTTCTCTGTCGTCCCGACAATGAGCATCAAATTGCAGTAGAGTACGGGCCGTGTAAATGCTATGGTCCCATACAATTTTACCAACTACGGGTTTTCAATTGCTATTTATGGCAACTGCCGCATGGGCACTTTTATGGTCTTGCAACCTACGTTTGTGCGCCTTTCGAGCCGAGAATCGGCCTTAACATTCGTGGGCCTAGAAGGGTGAAATTGGGTCATGGATCCAAAGGTTGGTTGGGGATAACCCTGTGTTCAACGGGGCCAACATCGAACGCGGGAGAGCGAAGTCATGACCGCTCGCTGGGCTCGTGGTGAGTCGTTGGGCTTATGGTGATTTGTTGGAGTTGTGGTGAGTTGTTGCAGTTGTGGTGAGTCGTTGCGCTTGTGGTGAGTCGTGGGGCTTGTGGTGAGTCGTCGGGCTTGTAGTGTCTCGTTGGGCTTGTGGTGAGTCGTTCCGCTTGTGGTGAGTCGGGAGGCTTGTGGTGAGTCGTGCGGCTTGTGTTGAGTCGTTGCGCACGTGGTGGGTCGTTGGGCTTGTGGTGATTTGTTGGGCTCGTTGTGAGTTGTTGGGGTTGTGGTGAGCCGTTGCGCTTGTGGTGGGTCGTTGCGCTTGTGGTGGGTCGTTATGGTTGTGGTAAGTCGTTGCGCTTGTGGTGGGTAGTCGGGCTTGTGGTGAGTCGTGGGGCTTGTGGTGAGTCGTTGCGCTTGTGGTGAGTCGTTGGGCTTGTGGTGATTCGTCGGGCTCGTGGTGAGTGGTTGGGGTTGTGGTGAGTCGTTGCGCTTGTGGTGGGTCGTTATGCTTGTGGTGAGTCGGTACGCTTGTGGTGAGTTGTTGGTTTGTGGTGTCTCGTTGGGCTTGTGGTGAGTCGTTGCGCTTGTGGTGAGTCGTGGGGCTTGTGGTGGGTCGTTGGGCTTGTGGTGAGTCGTTGCGCTTGTGGTGGGTCATCGGGCTTGTGGTGTTTCGTTGGGCTTGTGGTGAGTCGTTGCGCGTGTGGTGAGTCGTGGGGCTTGTGGTGGGTCGTCGGGCACGTGGTGAGTGGTTGGGGTTGTGGTGAGTCGTTGCACTTGTGGTGAGTCGTGGGGCTTGTGGTGGGTCGTCGGGCTTGTGGTGTCTCGTTGAGCTTGTGGTGAGTCGTTGCGCTTGTGGTGAGTCGTGGGGCTTGTGGTGGGTCGTCGGGCTCGTGGTGAGTGGTTGGGGTTGTGGTGAGTCGTTGCGCTTGTGGTGGGTCGTTATGCTTGTGGTGAGTCGTTGCGCGTGTGGTTAGTTGTTGGGGTTGTGGTGTCTCGTTGGGCTTGTGGTGAGTCGTTGCGCTTGTGGTGAGTCGTGGGGCTCGTGGTGAGTCGTTGGGCTTATGGTGATTTGTTGGAGTTGTGGTGAGTTGTTGCAGTTGTGGTGAGTCGTTGCGCTTGTGGTGAGTCGTGGGGCTTGTGGTGAGTCGTCGGGCTCGTGGTGAGTGGTTGGGGTTGTGGTGAGTCGTTCCGCTTGTGGTGAGTCGGAGGCTTGTGGTGAGTCGTGCGGCTTGTGTTGAGTCGTTGCGGACGTGGTGGGTCGTTGGGCTTGTGGTGATTTGTTGGGCTCGTTGTGAGTTGTTGGGGTTGTGGTGAGCCGTTGCGCTTGTGGTGGGTCGTTGCGCTTGTGGTGGGTCGTTATGGTTGTGGTTAGTCGTTGCGCTTGTGGTGGGTAGTCGGGCTTGTGGTGAGTCGTGGGGCTTGTGGTGAGTCGTTGCGCTCGTCGGGCTCGTGGTGAGTGGTTGGGGTTGTGGTGAGTCGTTGCGCTTGTGGTGGGTCGTTATGCTTGTGGTGAGTCGGTGCGCTTGTGGTGAGTTGTTGGTTTGTGGTGTCTCGTTGGGCTTGTGGTGAGTCGTTGCGCTTGTGGTGAGTCGTGGGGCTTGTGGTGGGTCGTTGGGCTTGTGGTGAGTCGTTGCGCTTGTGGTGGGTCGTCGGGCTTGTGGTGTTTCGTTGGGCTTGTGGTTAGTCGTTGCGCGTGTGGTGAGTCGTGGGGCTTGTGGTGGGTCGTCGGGCACGTGGTGAGTGGTTGGGGTTGTGGTGAGTCGTTGCGCTTGTGGTGAGTCGTGGGGCTTGTGGTGGGTCGTCGGGCTTGTGGTGTCTCGTTGGGCTTGTGGTGAGTCGTTGCGCTTGTGGTGAGTCGTGGGACTTGTGGTGAGTCTTGGGGCTTGTGGTGTCTCGTTGAGCTTGTGGTGAGTCGTTGCGCTTGTGGTGAGTCGTGGGGCTTGTGGTAAGTCGTGAAGCTTGTGGTGGGTCGTCGGGCTCGTGGTGAGTGGTTGGGGTTGTGGTGAGTCGTTGCGCTTGTGGTGGGTCGTTATGCTTGTGGTGAGTCGTTGCGCGTGTGGTTAGTTGTTGGGGTTGTGGTGTCTCGTTGGGCTTGTGGTGAGTCGTTGCGCTTGTGGTGAGTCGTGGGGCTCGTGGTGAGTCGTTGGGCTTATGGTGATTTGTTGGAGTTGTGGTGAGTCGTTGCAGTTGTGGTGAGTCGTTGCGCTTGTGGTGAGTCGTGGGGCTTGTGGTGAGTCGTCGGGCTTGTAGTGTATCGTTGGGCTTGTGGTGAGTCGTTCCGCTTGTGGTGAGTCGGGAGGCTTGTGGTGAGTCGTGCGGCTTGTGTTGAGTCGTTGCGCACGTGGTGGGTCGTTGGGCTTGTGGTGATTTATTGGGCTCGTTGTGAGTTGTTGGGGTTGTGGTGAGCCGTTGCGCTTGTGATGGGTCGTTGCGCTTGTGGTGGGTCGTTATGGTTATGGTAAGTCGTTGCGCTTGTGGTGGGTAGTTGGGCCTGTGGTGAGTCGTGGGGCTTGTGGTGAGTCGTTGCGCTTGTGGTGAGTCGTTGGGCTTGTGGTGATTCGTCGGGCTCGTGGTGAGTGGTTGGGGTTGTGGTGAGTCGTTGCGCTTGTGGTGGGTCGTTATGCTTGTGGTGAGTCGGTGCGCTTGTGGTGAGTTGTTGGTTTGTGGTGTCTCGTTGGGCTTGTGGTGAGTCGTTGCGCTTGTGGTGAGTCGTGGGGCTTGTGGTGGGTCGTTGGGCTTGTGGTGAGTCGTTGCGCTTGTGGTGGGTCGTCGGGCTTGTGGTGTTTCGTTGGGCTTGTGGTGAGTCGTTGCGCGTGTGGTGAGTCGTGGGGCTTGTGGTGGGTCGTCGGGCACGTGGTGAGTGGTTGGGGTTGTGGTGAGTCGTTGCGCTTGTGGTGAGTCGTGGGGCTTGTGGTGGGTCGTCGGGCTTGTGGTGTCTCGTTGGGCTTGTGGTGAGTCGTTGCGCTTGTGGTGAGTCGTGGGGCTTGTGGTGGGTCGTCGGGCTCGTGGTGATTGGTTGGGGTTGTGGTGAATCGTTGCGCTTGTGGTGGGTCGTTATGCTTGTGGTGAGTCGTTGCGCTTGTGGT